CCTTCTTTTAGCAGAGGGGGACTCGCTATCCAGTATTGAGCTTCCCCATCTCAGTGCAGAACCCTGTCCCATAAAAAGGTCTTCTGGCGTATTGAGGAGCATCCTAATACAGGTCGGGATCCTTCCTACTTGTCAAGGGACCTCCAAATCCCAAAAAAGGCCTTAATATTCCAAAACAGGGCGCGCTGATGCGGAGCAGCGGTATTCTAACTCAGGGTAGGGAACCTCCTATTCTAGATTAGGGATCTTTTGATATATAAAGGGTTGAAGCATTAAGGGCTGCGGCTGACGGTGCTTTTTTCTGCAGAACAGGGGATTGTTCATAACGAGAGCCCTTCGAGTCAGCAAAACGGTTTCCTTAACACAATATCTACAGGGCCTCCTGGTCCAGAAACGGGCCTTTTGACGAATGATATGGCCTTCTCATCCCGATTGACTATCTCCCGTAGATCAGTGATGGGGACCTTTTTTTTCTGAGTTTTGGTGAGATACGTTTAGCAAAATTCTCCCCATGCCTACTGGGAGAGGGTCACTGCTCCTCCTCCACCCCCTCCCCCCGCTGCGCCGTCCCACCCGTCAGCATGAAGGATAAAACAAATACGAAGAAAATCGTCCCCGCTTGGAAAAGCCAGGCCAAATCTGGTGATTTTAGAGGAGTCTTTTCACAGCAAGCCCTTCATCAAGATGTGCCCTCCCCTCCCCTTACCAAGAACTCCGTCTGCACCTCTAGTAACCACCGATAAAAACCCTGTTGCAGGTGGTGGTGCTGAGCTTGCCGCTGACGGCGCCGCTCGTGCCACCTGGCCTGCTGCAGCCGTCGCCGGCCGAGAGGATCGACGTGCCGGCCGACAGGCTGGCCGCGGCGCTGGCCTGGGCAGAGCGGCGTGTGCAGCGGCTGGACCAGTACCACACCGAGCCGAGCCGGAACGGCGCGGCCGCCCACCACGGCCACCGGCACGCCTCGGACGCGGCCACCCAGCAGCTGGGGCGCGAGGCGCTGCTCTGGGTCGAAGCAGGCGCGCGCACCGGCCCGCCTGCCTGCGGCGCCGCCCACCGGCCGGCAGGCGCTCTGTCCCATCGTCGCGGAGCCCGCCTGCAACTTCACGTCTGCGCGCTACCGCAGCCAGGACGGGTCATGCAACCACTGGAGCCGGCCGCACTGGGGCGCCGCCGACCAGCCCTTTATCCGGCTCGCGCCCAACACTTACGACGACGGCGTGAACGCGGCTCGCGCCACTTCGATGATGTCGGCGCGGCCGCTGTCGTCAGCGCGCAGCGTCAGCCGCGCCGTCATCGGCCAGCGCCAGGGCGTCATCGGCGGCCTGACGCTGTCAGTGATGCAGTGGGGCCAGTTCCTTGACCACGACTTGACGCTGACGCCCGTCTTCCTCAACAGCAGCGGCGGCATCATTTACTGCTGCGCCAACGGCCGGCGCGTGCAGCACGCGCACCCGCAGTGCATGCCGATCGACATTCCGGCCGACGACCCGTTCTTCAGTGCGCACGGCCAGCGCTGCATGGAGTTTGTGCGCTCGCTGCCGGCGCCGGCACCCGACTGCCAGCCCGGCCCGGCCGTGCAGATGAACGTACTCACCAACTTTGTGGACGGCAGCATGATCTACGGCTCGCGGCCGTCGCGCACGCGCCTGCTGCGCACGTTCTCGGGAGGACGGCTGCTGGCGCGGCCAGGCGACCTGCCGCCGAGCGACCCGCCGGGTGCGCAGCTGCCCACCGAGCTGCCCTGCTTCAGCGAGTTCGACACGCAGCCCTGCTTCCTCAGTGGCGACGTGCGCGTCAACGACCAGGTGAGCCTGGCCGTGCTGCACACGGTCTGGCTGCGCGAGCATAACCGAGTGGCCGATGAGCTGGCTCGCCTCAACCCGCACTGGAGCGACGAGGCACTCTTCCAAGAGGCGCGCAAGGTGGTGGGCGCCCAGATTCAGCACATCACCTACCGCGAGTGGCTGCCGATCGTGCTCGGCGACGAGTACATGCTAGAGAACCGGATCGACGCCGACCGCACCAGTCAGTTCTCGGACCGCTACATCGAGGCGCTCAACCCGACCATCTCCGCCGAGTTCTCCACGGCCGCGTTCCGGTTCGGCCACTCGCTGGTGCAGGAGTTGATTGAGCTGCACGCGCACGTGGTGACCGCCGCCGCCGCCACGGCCACCCGCCGCATACAGCTGCGCGACGTCTTTCTCTTCCCGCAGCCCATCTACCAAGGCATGCTGGACCAGCTGGCCATGGGCCTCATCATGCAGAGTCCGCAGGTGTGCGATGCCAACGTGGTGGCCGACCTCACCAACCACCTGTTCCAGGAGGGCGGCCGGCATTTTGGCCTGGACCTGATCGCGCTAAACATCCAGCGAGGCCGAGACCACGGCATCGCCACCTACAACCGCATGCGCCAGCGCTGCGGCCTCGGCCGGGCGCGATCGTTCGCTGAGCTCATGGCCCAGATCCCGGTGGGCGTGGTGCGTCGACTGGAGACGGTCTACGACCACGTGGAGGACGTGGACCTCTTCATCGGAGCCATCTCGGAGCGGCCATATCCGGGCGCCGTGGTCGGCCCTACCATGCGCTGCATCGTCGGCGACCAGTTCATCAAGCTGCGCTTTGGTGACAATTTCTTCTACGACCTGGGCGGTCCGGAGCGGCCGTGGAGCTTCACGCGCCGCCAGCTGAAGCAGCTGAAGAAGACCAGCTGGGCTCGGGTGCTTTGCGACAACATCCCGAGCATCCAACGAGTTCAGAAACAGGCGTTCCGGGCGGCGGACGATGCTGAGAACAGCGTGCGCCACTGCGGCAAACTCCCCAGAATCAACCTGCGCTACTGGAAACAAGATGGTTGACGTTTCGCTGCTGCAACTCCCATGATCGTCAGTTGTCTGCACTTAATATGAAGGGAATTGTAGCATTCATGATTTACAGCGGCGCATGCATGGACACGGGTTGCTGCTAATGCTGCAGTGTGAATTTGATGTGTCACGGTATACGTGTACTGATGTGCGGGGTGCCCATGACGAGTGTCATTTATTTATTAAAGCGAATATCTGAGATCAAGCTGCTCATGCATGCAATGCACATCCGGCAGTCTTTCTTCAAGAAATGTGCATATGCGTGGCTGTAGAAATAAGGCAGAGTTCCCGCGTGCTCTGCATCACCGCGAAGGATGCAGTACTCTGACAGAGCGAAAACTGGAGGTGATCGGACGCAGTAGCTCAGGCAGGGGGGGGGGGGGAGGGCACAGAGGACGCGTGCCTTCCCCTTAGGTTCCGAGGGGTCCTTAGGGCCCGTCGGAACGTACGATTAAGAGCCCGATTTGGGGGCCTGAAGGGCCCAAAAGGTCAGCCGGAGGTTCCATTTAGCCACCATCGCGCCACCGGCCACCAAAACCGACCACCAAAGGTGAGATTTTTTGTGTTGATTTGGTCTCGAGAAACGTTCAAATGTACTTCTTTCAAATGCGTCTCCATGTTTGTCCGTCTTTTTGCCCCGACCTTTTATAAGTCCGCCGGACCGCCGCTGCGCGGCCTATGGAGACTGCGACGCCTGGCGTCGAGTTTTTTTGGTGCTTAGATATGCGAGCGCGCATGCTCAAACTGCGTTACATGATTTGTATCACTAATTGATTCTGAGTAAACGTTGAACATATCCGGACAAGCATGTCTTGGCCGCGTTAATACAAAGTGATGACCGATTTTGATCTTCATTATACATGCGCGGAATCCTTGCTATATCTGTATAATTCAGACAAAAATTTTGACGTTTCGAGTTGAGAGGAGAAATGTTCTCAATAACAAATGGCCATATCCGACATTTTTGGAAAGGGCCTTTTACTATCAGGGGGCTCTTTGTCAGCCCTGTGCCCCTCCCCTTGTAAAGGCTCTGGCTGCGCCCCTGACTGGGCGGTATGTAATTCTTGGAACGGGATGGACTGAGGCAGCCGCCAGCCTGTCTGGGGGCGCGCATGCGCCACGCGTGTAGATCAAAGGTGCAGCAACATCTTTATGTTTTGTGTAGTCTTTGGAAATGCTTCTCGACGGAAATCGTCTAAATTATTCCCCATGGGTAACTGTGGATGTATGCGTGTGTATTCGTGTGTGCGGGCATGCGCGCGCGTGCTTGGTGGGTGACGGGTCTGCCGAGAGTCGCATAAAATTGAGTCATAAATTTCGCGGCTAGGAACATTTCTGGCTTCCTCCTCCCCCAAAATGACCAGCACATCGATTCGAATATAAAGTATCTCGGAAAGCCAATGATCGAGAGTCTGGTGGCACACGCCTGACGCAGTCAAGCTTTTTAGGGCGTTTACGCAGGTGATCCTAGTGGTGGGCTACACAACACACGCAAGACGCTACAATTAACAAGCGTTCCAAACCCTAGGCAATTCATGCAGCGGGTTCTGAATACAATACATCGGAAATTTGGAGGGGGGGGGGGATTAGCGGGGCAAGGACTGTTCACGGGCAGGAAGCGAGTTCTTATGGCGGGGCATGTCATGACCCTGCTCCCAAGCGTACACCGACCTTGCGACACACGCGGGATCCACCGCGGCGCATTCACTTCCCGCAGGAATCACGCACCGACGCTCATTAACCAGCACCTTGGGCTGCACATCGGACGTTTGAGCGCATAACCCACGAAGACTACAGACATGTTCGTAATATGAACTGCTGGTTGCATTGACCTTCACTTGCGTTGGCGTCTTGCAATGCGCATGTTCACGTAAGAATGTGGTATGCTTACATCACTTCCCAAATGCAGTGCTCAAGCCTCCATATCATCTGCGTACGTTTCCACACGGTTACTTAATTTATATCGGGTTTTCGCCCACGGGTTGTCGCTGTTCGAAAGCATCCATAGCGGTCTTCAATCGGCACAGCGAATGTGCGCATCTTCCGCTAACCCTTGCGCTAAGTTCAAACGGCACCGTCGATCGTGCGCAGGTGCAGACGATGACATGGCCGCCTCGTGGACAGCGTCGCACGACAGGCCACATTTCTGGAGTTTATTACCAGAAACACGTCTCATTGAACAGCGACGCGTCGATAACTCACCGGATCAGCTGGCGGGCACTGTATCTACGGGTCACCCACAAATCACTACTGCACAAGCATGGACGCCACGTTTGGCGCTGATTGGACCCTCGGTGGTGACGCACACACAGATTGACACCTTGCTGACGTTTCGCCCGATAGAACGAGTACAACGGCCGCACTCAAACAGCATCCATGGCGGGGCATCATGATCTTTTACCAGACACCGCATCCAGAAAACATTACAAACGCAGTGACAGGACATTGTAGACATAAAACAGGAGGTAACGAAGAGTCATTGTCACATGCGACCCCCTACCGGAGCTACGTCGCAAAACTCTTTTCACTCAAAACACTACCGAAGGATAAATAAGAGCCTGCAATGGATGAAAACACGCCAAAACGCACAAATCATCTGCTTGAACTTTGGAGCTCACTGGCCCACTCCCAGACACGTGCGCATACGTCTTCGCTACTGAATTAAGCCATACGTCTTTAAAAAAACAAGCGGTTGGATGGAAAGTTGTTTCTTGCCTGCAGAGTGAGCATAGGCCAGTTCAGAGTGTTCCCAGACAAGTTTTTTCACACCGTACACCGCTTGACTTACCAACACAGCTTAGGCTTAGCATCAGACAGCCCCGTTATCAAGGCACAAATTACAGGAAGCTTTGGCAGCAGACACAAGACAACCGGGCGACCGGTAAACACTTTAAGAAACTGACAGAGAACACACCGGATGGCCAATAGGCCTGGGCAGCTGCAGTGTACTTGCGCGGCGCAATTGGTCCACAGGCATTGACATTCACTGATTTATCCAAGGCACCGGGCGCCTGTCCAATGCGATGTGTGTCAACGATATTTGATTTCAACATCACGGAAGGCACCTGAACCAAGACCATTGTAACGAAGCATCCGTAAAGCTGACAGAATGTTCTCTGATGTTGGAATGCGCACCAATGGCAGCATCGGCTTCCCTGTGGCGGTCAGCAGGTGGAGGTACGGGCGCGCAGGCGGACGAAGGACCTGCCCAGCGTCGACCAGCCACTGGCCACTCAACACAAGCATCAACGCTAGAGGATATGGGCGACAGACGGGGGCAGGGGGCGGGCCGGCCGCTCGCGAGCGCCATCGACCCAACGGCGACGGCCCAACAGGCCGGGGCTCGGTACACGGCCAGTTCTGGACCAGCCGTCGTTCCCCACCGCCGGCGACGGCCCGACAGGCCGGGGCTCGGTACACGGCCGGTTCTGGACCAGCTGTCGCTCGCCACCGCCGGCGATGGCCCGACAGGCCGGGAATGGGTGCACGGCCGGCTCCGGGCCGGCTGCTCGGGCCGACGCCAGATGGGACGCGGCGGGACCGCTCCGGAGGGGCAGGTCGCAACACGTCTACGTCGCGCACCAGGACCGAGGCGAGGAACAGCATCTTCCAAATTACACGAGGCTTTGACAGGAATGCATGTGAGAGTATTGTGACCAACATCGGCCTGTCATTAACTTGGAATGTTGAACATGCGTCCATTCCCTTAAACCGACCGGTTGTATTATGTACACGAAGCTGATCATGCTTCGAGAGCGTGGTCTGTGTCACACTACCATGGATGGGGACAGGCACCGCCAATGCCGGTGTCATCTCCAGACATCCGCGACAACGGCCCACCCATCTGGCTTGCTCGCTGCCGCCGCCGGCGCGGCTAGGGAGAGCTCTAGTAGATCATGTTGACGGCGTTGGTGTTGCCCCGCTCTATGGGAATCTGCACCTTCTTCGGTCGCTTCTGGTGCGTGCCGAACCACAGGATGGCCATGTTCACGGCGTGCAAAATCATGGCGACAAACACCAGCCTGCCGGCACGGCACGTCCGGTCAGGTCAGGTCAGCTCATGGCAGCGTATCTCCGGTGCAGACCACTCTCGACCACGGCATGCGTGGTCGGGGGTCGGAATGCGTGCCATTCCCCCCACCTACTGATGTGGTTTAAAAAATGCCCACCCTACGATCAGCTCCAGACACAGGTAACAAGAACGCGGTTTGAAAAGGCTGCTTCTCATAGATGGAAAACTGCACATGCACAAGGAGTAAATGCAATTTTGGATGTCGCGAGACATCGCTTTAAACGGTGCAAAATCATCAAAATTTGTCTCAGCTTTAAGCTGTGAATGTAACGCACCATCAAACAATGGTCGAAGACGACACAAACTGACAAAATACGCGCTGCGAGCACTTACCTTACACCATGTGAAGTTCCCAAGCGCGGGCGGAATTAGTCCCGATTATTTGCGACTCCCGCCAGACCACAGGTGTGTGTGGTGGTGTCAACAGCGCGTGCGCCCCTGACTCACCCGCGCCCGAGTGTCACAAGAGTAATTGCCAGCGGTGGCCACGAGTGGCAGACGCCAGAGACTCTCACCAGTAGGAGTAGCCGAGGCTGGCCATGCCTTCGGTGGACCACGCCTGTTCGATCTCGTCCCTCCACAGCATGTTGTGTCGCAGGTGCTGGTGGAACTGTACGCCCCACAGCACCAGCACCAGAAACTCGAAAAACACTGCAACGGCACGGCACATGTCAGCTCACTACGGGACCCAGCGTCAATCGCACCTCATGACCTACCGTCAACGGCCTCCGTCACGACACTACCAACACCCGCGTTATAACAATGATAAAAACCCACGGCAGAGGCACACCTTGGTCATTCCCACCGTTGAAACAATTCACTTCACGGCAGATCGATGAACTCAATTAAGTCCTCGGTCATCAAAAGACTTTACCTTTTGACTTCTTGAGCGACAAAAATTGCAATAAGAAGCTCGTTAAACCAACACACGCAAGACGACGAAAAGATGGCTTCCTCCATGCTTCTTGCTCTCCTCATTGCTCTCCAGCGCCCTGGTATAACATACGTGGACACATCCCACGAGTGGTGATGGTAAGAACCTTTCATATACCACGTTGGAGCAAAATTTAGCCTAAATATTTTCGCGTGAAGGGAGAACGTCTGACAAAGACACGTGACGTATGCGGCAAGAGAACGTACAGCAGCTTTCCACGTCTAAACAACTACATCAATAGCGGGCGTCTGTCGGTCGGTCTGAACGTGGTTTTTGCTGCAGCCAGACACACAGCAGAGGCTGTGACATTTGCAGATGCTACACGTGCACTCCTCGTGGCGATGCACATCATAACTTCACGCTCATCGGACGCTGGGGTCCGTCACCGCCGGCGCAACAGCGTAGTATGTTTTACCATCGGACAACGAGACACTTCTATACACAAACGGAACAGCTAAATGCTATTCACTCTATGCTGTGGGCGAGCGCCGCTCGGGCGATGTGTCCGGGTGATCCGCGAGTGCTAAGCAGATTACAAATGTTACTGAGCTTCACTTCGAATTGCTGAGGCAAGACTCCAGTTCGGTCGCGGGCGGTGGGGCTAACGGCGACGTTGTCTCTCCACGCAGCGACACAGCTGGCAATCGCTGGCATGTAGCCACACAATATTATTAAGTGAGCCCGTTTAGCAGCCTCAGTGAAAGTAAACTGGGGACATTGCGCCAGGGATGGAAATATAATCCTGATTACTGACCTAAAGCCCTCGCCTTCAAGCGCTTGCACGCAGCGAGGAGCAAGAAGCTTCTACCCATATTCATAACCCGTGACACCTTCACGCTCCGGGTTACCACAGCTCTAGATAGGCGGATGGGAGAGACGTCAGCGCCGCGGCGCCCGATACATTATCGCGCTGGCATTTTTCATGGTCGGATAGGACGGTATCAGGGCCGGTGCAGCCGATTAGTCTCGAGAGCGTCCGAGGCGGATCCCTGCCGCGCCCGGCTGATACGGCCTTATCAGAAGCCGCCGCCGCCCAGCTCCGGCAGGTGGGCCGGCTGCACTTGGGGTGTATTCACCACAGGATCACAGGCAGGTCAGCAACGATAGGAAATCGTGGCCAACAAGAACAGTGTGGTGTACAGTACCATTACTGGATTGTTGGCGTTAGACCTACCAAAATATCCTTAGTCTATCTACGATATACTGAGCACACCAATCTGATCCTAAAACACATTCTCAACAGCAAGAAATAGCAAAAAACTAACATATCGTCACCTTCGCGCATTAACCCATCTGCGACGCTATGGATTGAAGCACTCCGCAAATGGAATGATCACTAACCCGTATTGCATATCGTAGGACTCTTGCCAAAGCCAAGACTTTCCATAATTGTTACAACGCGACGAAACATCGTGACAAAACAAAATATATCGAATGCATCGTGGGGTATGACGCGGGTTTGTACGCATCACACAACATATAACTTTCAGCTGGTCAAGTCACTTTAAAGTGATGGCACCAACAAAAACGGCAACGTTTTTTAAGTTGAAAATCGTTTTTTAATTGGGGGGGGGGCATTGTGGGTTAGGAGATTTCATAATAAGAATAATCGACCTTCAGTGCACCAGGAGAAGCTGGTTAAAGAGAGGTTAAAGTGCCAGACCTACCATCAGGTGTCTAATCACACGATTGCCTAAAGCTGTTCCGGCCTGATGCGACAATGACTCCGCTTGCGGAAAACGGCAGATGGTTCGCGCTTTCAGAGAACTGTCAGCGTGACGGAAGGCAACACAGTCAACAAGTTCATAACTTCTAACATCGGGAGCTAACAGAACCAGGTCAAGACGTAGCTGCTAAGAAGCCTAACATCATCGTTAGACCCATGGCAAGGAGCCCCTGCATCTAGCACAGTACCACAAGTGTTATGACTTGCAGAATCCTCATATGTAGCCTAAGCTCAAGTCCGGCTTATGGGCCTGAACGGCTGGAACGCTAGTGACGTTCGAGCAATACTCGTGACGCCTGGTGTTCTTGGCAAGTTGCTGACCTTATCATCTGTGCCGGTTGTCGTTACATTCAGGCGAAGCCGCCCGTGTTTCTAGAAGCTTTAGCGCATCGCCGAGTATCGGGAGTTACGGTTTGTTCAGCGCGTCCCACATGAGTGCAAAGCCTTTGGATAAAAAGTTTTCTCTGCCGACGCGGTAGTTTTGCTCAATGCCTGATACTTTTCGAAAGGTGCCACCGCATCACGCAGGATTTGCTTTGCTTTCCATCTCCCGTCTGGTCACGCCACTCATTGCTTTAGAGAAGAGAAGCCCAAATAATTTTGGTTGCACGTCTGAATGCCTAGCAGATAACTTTTTTGCAGTATTTTTAGACGATTGACGATCGTTTACCTATTGCAGCCACATTGTATACCTAAACATGTAAGGAAGCTACGGAGACGTTTTGACCTTCGCAAGACTCTGATTGCGATGCGATGATGCGCTGACCAATTTGAGCACCCTCGGGTGGATATTTAGTGCAAGACATGCTTTTCTCATGCCGTAACCTGCATTGACGCACGTCCGACGCGGGGGTACAAAATACCCGCGTGTATGTACCACTGTCCTAATGGTACGCGTGCGTACCATAAGGGCATCATCATAAGGGCATAATCTGCACCGATTTGGGGCATTCCCTGAATTCCAAGTGACGTAAATTGAAATATTTTATTTTGCCCAACTTTGTCTTCTCGCAAGCGTGAGAAAAACTGGAGCGTTGATATAGCTTCATACAACCAGCTTGCTTGCTAATCTCGTTTAACCAGTACCTACGGATATACTTTTTCTGTGCCGTTACCCAAGAACAGGTAACCAGGGGTGCCCCTCCCTCAATCCCAGCGACGCAGTAAACCGCACGTTAATACTAGAAAACATAAAATCAAGTCGCGGCACTCCCAGCTAGAAAGATGAAACAAACGTAAAGAAGCAGGCGAAGAGGTGGTGCAGATCCGAAGGAATTGTGTTATGTAATAGGCAGGGGAAAATCATAGATGAGAAGCCTTAAAGTAGTCATTAGCCAAAGTCAGCTAATGACGGCCCGCTATAACCGCCCAATAAGCTCCAACCACTCAATTCACCGTGTTAGTAAGGGTTATACAGTCACACAAGTCGGAGAGGGCAATTACCCGGTCATTTTCGTGCTGGTTTTTGAGGTGGATGTCCAGGGAGTCCACCCAGCTAAGCGAAGCTTGTTGCTGGGAGAACTCCTGGAGCCGGCGCCGTGAATTTGGGTATATGTGCATGACTTTAACTATATCAGAAATTGCTTATGCAACATGAAGGAGGTCAAATATGAAGTGCGCTGGATATGTGCAGCGCAAAGGATTGCAATGTCTTCAGATATGTTGGTTACGTTAATATGTATTCACGAAATGCTTGCGGATAATGTTCTTAACCATGGTTTTTGATACAGATATATCAGTTATTCTTGGAAAATATGAAACCATAATGTCGTTCAACAGCTTGGGGCCAAGGCAAGATGCTAAGTCTATTGTCAAACCATATTGCCGAAAAAAGAGCCCAATGACTTCCTTACTTATATTTACTATACAGCCCATTTGGCGGAGACAAATAACTGTATATCGCCAAGATTGTTTCTGAAACGCCATGGTTGTTTCAGAATATGCACCACGGAATTGCATCCTCCATATGTTATAGGACACCTTTTCCGAGGCGCCTCCCTTTCGGAAGTGTCACTGAAGCCACGATCTGAATGTGGTCACAGATAGAGACAACAACCAAGAAGCGTTTAATCTGTGGATGGCGGGTCCAATCAACAGTCCGCGACCGCGTCAAAGCTTTTGCTAAAGTCCAAACGCGAGCGCCGGAGAACCTGGCCGTTATCGCTGGCCGACAGAGGGCGGCAAGAGTGTGATCAGAGGCGGGCATCGGCCGGGGTTTCCGTCGAAGGACGACGATGGCGGCCGCGAATTGCAACGGAGAGAAGGTGGTTGGAGCAGGCTAGGAAAAGTACACTGGCCCAAGAACCGGAGGGCTCTGGCCGTACCACTGACATCACACGGCACGCCTATCACTTCGGCTACTGCAGGACGGTGCCAGTGGATTATGTGATGGACGATAGAAAGCGGGAGATGATACCTCTAATCGCACCACGGGCGGCCTGACCGCCACGATGCGCAGGGCTACCCGGTTTTGAGACAAAAGTACCGCACATCCGGAAACCAAACCAGCGCACCACTCCAACGGAGATGGACGAGGTCAACGCGGCCGCTCCCGCCCTGCGTCAGTGACGAGTACCACTTGCTCACCCCTGACCGTCAGCTTTCTTTGGCTAACCCTGCCATCCCTCGCCGTCCGCTTCCCGCGTGACGCGCCAGCCGATGTCCCTGCACACGCCAGCCGTCTGGCTGGGCAGCGCCCTGCCACGGTTGACCAGCACTCAATCAGCATGGGTGATCTGACCTCGACATCTCAGTTTTGAGCAATCAACATGCCCCGTTCACTGCCGTCGCCCCAGCGAGCTACCTCCGGTGATGTTCACTGCCGTCGCCCCAGTGAACTAACTCCGTCGACAGTCCCCCATTACGGCACGACAGCTTTTGTCAAACGTTCCCCATAGGCAACCCAGCACGGCCGTACATCACCTACAGACCGCATGAGTTTGCACCCAGCCGGCCAGATAGCGCGGGCGGGGGACGACCCCACCGAGAACTGATAAGCCGCGCCGGGCCACAAAGCGCTCGCCGCTCGACGGAGCACGAGTCCGGGCGGACGCGGACGGCGCCGCCACTCATGTGGCCGGACTCGATCTGGCGGCGGGCGCAGCGGGCACAAGCGCGCCAACACCTGGCACCGCCAGACCGAGCCACCCGCCTCAGGCTATTGGCAGTCTTACACGGATTAGGCCGGACAACAAGTAAAACAGCAATGCTGGGTGCGGCCAGCCGGTTTCCGAGTCGGCGGCTAATCGTCTAGTCGATTTTGACCAGTCTGATGGCCCATGACTAACGAAAAGTCTCTGAAGTGGTTTCGTTTTACGTAGTTGAGCGGAAAACGCATCCCTCCTCCATCTAAGCGGAAACAAACATATTCAAGCATGCCTCAAGAGCAACGCCGATTTCCAGAGATCTTCGTAAACTTTTTAAGGTCTGCCAGGCCCTGGAAAATCTCCAACGCCTTCCATTGCAATGCCGTAGCCAAGGAGCCGCTGGGCTGTATGTCGCCACAAGGGAATAGTGATAGTCGATCACACGTAACGTAATGGTTCACGTGCGATTAAAAGCAAAACTCAAAGCTTTTGTTTCAATCAGTTTTGAGCTAAATTTTCAACTGAATGCTAAAACTTGAAGTCTAAAACTTGAAAGCCTAATGAAACTTTCTAGAAAATGTGTGAAACTTGTGTCAATGGCTGGTTGGATTTCGACCTTAATAGCAAGAAGCATGCATTCATTGTCGTTATGCGGCTACTAAGGGTTTGCAAACTTTTGTTTTTACTGTCTCCAATCGTTCTTATTCTTCAAGCATCACGGGATTGGGGAAAATTCCAGGTGGGTCCAACTCCTGCAATATCCATTAATTGACATATGAAAAAGTTCCAAAAACTAATGTTCTGAGATTTGCCCCACAGCGTATAACACTACACGGGGGGCGTGGCACTCACTTGCAATGCCATTCCAGACATAAAGGCCGACGACACCGGTCAGCGTCTCCACCGGGTTTGTAGCGGTGTTGAGGATGGCAAACATGGCGGCCACGAGGACGAATACGATGGCAGCGCCCATCATGACAATGGTCGCTATCCAGAGGCCGTAGACCATGAAATCGGGCTGGGTCTTCGGTAGCTCGGTAACTGCAAGGTCCACCACGTGCGGGTCAGCGGCTGTCGGATTGTCACGGCTCAGCACAGGGAGCCAGCCATACGCCAGCACCGGTGGCCGCCCACAGTCATCAGCACACGCACGAAGTCCGCAGCCATCAGCACACGCCGTGAGTTCAGCACATGACAAGTGAAGTTAGGCTAGGTGGCGATGACAAGCAGCTAAGGTAGCCAGCACCCATCTACAACTTGGCCATGCTCCTCTGCCCAAGGCAAATGCGGACTATAGGAAGGGCGCAGATCGGAGAACTGCGCAATTGCGGGGCTGTGTACCATCGTCAACCTCCAGCTCCAGAGTAGTCGGCCTCCTGATGGCGGGCGGAGGCTTTATGGCTGGCGGCAGCTGCAACACCAGGCCGAGCGGGCCGCCGGCAGACGGCGGCCACGCGGCACCCACGCTGCCCACGCTGGCGTCGCTGGTGCAGTTGACATTCAGGGTGCTGTTGCCAGCCACCAGGTCCTCGAGGTCAGAGCGCCGATCCTCCGGGGAGGTGGCGCAGCTGAACATGCAGACATTGTGGTCCTTCAAGCACACCACTGCCAGGTGGCAGGTGTTGAGTTAGTGTAAAGATTGGTGCATTAAACATTCTGCCAGGCAGAGCATCATCAAGGAAGGTGTTAGCACAGCATGCCAATGGTTAGCTGCAGAACATTATCTGCAGGATCATATGCACACCACAGCCAAAACAAAGTGCAAAAATGGAACTGGCAAGAAGCAAGGCATGGTGCTCACCACCCGGAGTGCGTCCAAAGGAAAGGGAAAGCAGCCTTATTTCTTTCTAACCATCTGATAAGCAAATCATGCCACAAGCTTGATGGACAGCTACCAGTACATAATGTGGTGTGACCTACACCCTTTGCATATTGACATGTCACCCCAGAATGGCCAGACATCTACTGCTCCAGAGGTCACAATGATAGCTGTGGGCAGTGTGTATGACATCCAAGAAACAATTTAGAGGTGGAATAGCTGCCAACAATCATACTGAAAAACACCACATGCTGTCCTAATCACACTTGTGCCTGACTCCACATCTATTCAATCCTGGAATCATCCAATAATTTCAAAACAAGATGAAATCAATACCTTCCACAATTGAGTTGAGCTAGGGTCAAGGTCGAGACTACTCTGTTGGCTAGAGTTGCTGTCAGCTCAGTTTGAATGGAAATGTAGATAAAAATGCATTTTTTGTTTGAACATGTGTCATAAAAGATGTTCAATGTAGCCTTTTGGCTTTGGCGTTTTCATATCAAAGTAGAAATCCAATAAAACTTAAGGTGGGGTGAAGAATGAGTTAAGAGCTAAGCCAATGTCCCCAGCATCAACACCACTTGAATTAATTCCAGAATCAGTAATTCACATATTCATACAGCTTGCTTACATAGTTGTTTATCATCCTAAGTATCCTTATAAGATGATGCATCTTGGAATCATCACAATTTCCTAAGACATCACTATTTGTCCTTTTTAGATGAGTTGTTCATAACATTTAAAGTCATGGAGTCTAACATTGGCTTAAGTTAACAACATGGTGCTCATTAAATTTCATAATCAAATGATGTAAAAACACTCATTAATTTCTGATGTACACAACAGCAATGATATAACCTGCCTAGTATTTCAAAACTTCTCTATTTTGGGATGAATAGACAACTAATGGAAAGAATGCAAAAATATGTTTGATTCAGCTGCATTCAACCAATGCCAATTTTGACCACAGCATATATGTTTGACTCTAACCCTAACTCACAGAAACAAAACCTGATTTGGGGTTACCTTGATTTTAACTCAATGGGATGCCACTTGATGCTGGAATCAACTCTGATGGAGTTGATTCCAGATACACATCAAGCCATTATACAGTTAACCCAAAGTCTATACTCACAAACACTTAACACACAAATATCTGACATCTGTGTTTCTCTCTGAATTGAACCAATAATGAATTCAACCAATGTGGCAACTTAAACTGTGACCAAAATAACTTTGCAAACTGATCAGCCCATCTCCTCTCACTCAACCATATGTACCAAAGCTCAATCAAATGCAGACAGGTATCAAGCCATACCAAGCTGCTAAGTACATTGGAAGTCATCAGCAGAAATGTAGCAGAACTGTGGGAAACATTAACAGATTTTAGTGCAGACCAAACCAAAAGTATAGGTCCCAACCCCAAGGCAAAATTGAGCCAAAGTGTACAGAGTTATCTGGCCTCTTCTGACTGTTACTGACTGCTTGTTAACACATCTCAATCGCAGCATTCCAGATGGCACAACATTTTACTTACCTTTGATGGCATATGTTCTTTTACCAAGGCCAGAATCCAGCACCTTTTTGCCATTGAACAGGCCAAAGTTAATATTTCCATTTGATTCCTTGGTGATATTCCGTTCTGCCGTTGATGTAGCCCAAAAATCTGTCGGCTAATGCAGAACAAAGGAGAACACAAATGATGGAACACAAAAAGAAAGTGGTAAAAATTGACCCCTTTGTCCAGTAGTTGGGCTTCATGACAAAAGACTTGAGATTGCTTGAAGCTAGAGGCACAAAAATAAATTTCCACCAAAGGTGCCTTCAACACTGGCCAATATCAAGCTGCATAAGACCCCGCACCCCAGCACCAGCACTCGGCACCCCGGGCCTTCCTGAGGACAGGCCGCGAACGGACGAACCCCTCCCGCTTGGTACAGTCGCGCCTCAATGTCGGCGCTGCACCACAATAGCTTGCATCCAATTCAAGGCCGTGATAAGCGTGCGACGCGAGCGCCACCTGACCTGCTGGCAAATGTGAAAGCTGGGAGCCACCAGAGGCTGGGGGGCGATTTCGCAGTAGTTTAACTGGTTAGGGAATTACAGATGTCCAAAAAATAATGCTTAAACTTTTAACATCAGCGCCCTTTGCACGATGTTAAGTTCTTTCTAAATGACTGAGTCCAAACTTTTATTGACGTTAAAAAATCGGTTTACGGCCGAGTACGCGCTCGCCGGCCACTGCCACGCTGGGCTACACTGCTTCCAGACGCTTGGTCGCTAGTGGCTAGACTCAATCAATTTCGAAGTAAATCGTCTAGCAAATAACGTCCTTTGCCTGCGTACCCCGTCGCGCGTATTTCCCCCTCGAATGAGAGGCTCCTATATTGGTGAAGTGCCTGCAGTGCCACACAGGGGATCCTGCGTCGGCAAAGCGCCCCGAGTCGGCCGCGGGAACATTTGCTGAGCAGGGCAGGGGCAGGACCCGAATGCCAGAGGGTTTCTTGCATTGATTGTGACACTCTGGCAATGCAAAAAGGTATGAGAATTACGACCGGGATCCAGAATGAGACAATGAACAAGGCCCTTACTGTGTCAGGGAGGGCCCATGTGTCAGTCGTGGCCCAGTGCCACACTTTCAGCCATTGGTCGATTAAGCCGAACTTGAGTATGAGTGCTAATCATTGCACCAACTGCGGCGATCAACGATTTGTTTGCGTCAATGAGGACCCTGTGTAGATCAGGGGCCAAATGCTCGGGTCGGAGGGCTTCCCGCGCCAGGGAGGGTACCGTTGTATGATTTGTCCCTCTGAAGGCTTATGCACTAAAAGCGGATCCCACGCTGGCTGGTAAACACATCAGCTGCAGGTTCGGGAAGGGGTAACACACAATCTTTTCTTTACTCTCGAGCTATGGGTGCAGTTCACGATCGCCAAGAGTCAAGTACTCTTCTCTCCTATGTTCAATATGTGTTCAGTATGGTGGAACAAAATGAGATCAAATATGAAAGAAGGCCAACCAGTGTTTGTATGCGGACGATTATCCTTTTCGGAATCGACTACTGAAACAATTTGCATAAGACAGCTTTGAACCTGCACGCTCGCAATCTTAGAAGCAAGGACTCCAATGGACGGGGTTGCAGTTCCCATCAAACCGTGCGGCGTCGGCTGCTTTAGCTAACACCAGGCGGCGGCGCCCAGCGCGCGGGAACGACCCTCGTGAATTAATGCTTTCGAAAGTCTTTCAAAACAAATTTGTGCCGTTCAACGTTTGGACTGGAGCATATATGAACTCTTCAGTTTTTAGGGTGCCCTCTGGACAGATTAAATGCTACAGCCACACGAAACATACCGATTCTACTTTTGCTGGTCCCGTTCCGCCTCCAGGTTCCAGACCTTCAGCACCGCGAATCGGCGCTTTAAATTCCTTTTTTTAAATCGGCGCTTATTCGGTCTTCCATAAATTACACAATTCCACAGGTGAAATATGCTCTAGAACAAACCTCCAAACGTGCGAATTGATGGCCCGAGGCGTTCAAATATGCACCTTTCAGATGCGTCATCGTTTTCATCCGCCCGTTGGCCGCCGTTCAGTGTAAGCCGCAGGACTAACGGCTCGCAGCCTGTACAGACTGTAACGCCAGTCGCCGGTTGTTGTGTCTAAACTTGCGAGCGTGCATGTTGGAAACTGTTAGGTATATACATTTTTCACCATTCGACTATGAACGAAGGGTGAACATTCCGAGACAATCATGTGCTGGTCGTGTGAATGCAGGATGTTAACCCTATTTCGATCCACAATCTACGCTCACGGAGTCTTCAATAAGTCTGTAGAATCCTGCAAATTTCCGGCGAAGCCCGTGTTATCGCTTGAAAGAGAGGGACAGAGAGTCGACTAAGCCATTGTTGTACGAATGGCGCCGGCGATGCATTCCACGCAGTCATTTCACGCCTGGTTCCTTCAGTTTATTGGCTTCAAAATGCAAAGAGGGTCCCAGGCTCAGAAGACAATCCTACCCTTAGTGAAGACAATGGCTCCAAGTCCAAGTGAAAAGTACTCCCACCCAAGATATTGGGGCACGGTGTACTGTGCCCGAGTAGAGCAGCACGCCCCTAGCATTGGTAGAGGAGGGTCCTAACGGAGTCCTAAATATCCTAACGGTGGGGTGTCCCAGGACGAAGTTGGGGGAGCCCAAAGACCCCAGGTGGACGAAGTCCCCAAGTCCACGTGCAGGTGCCCCAAGGCCCAGTGGAAAGCACCTCTAAATCCAGAGAAAGCAACATTGATAACGTGACGCCCAAGACAAAAGTAGGGGTTTGTCCCTCCCCCAATCCAATATAGGGGAACGCCGACAGCGTGGATGGAAAAAGACCCTAGCGCATGACCAGGTACGCCCAAAGTGCAGGTAGAGAGGCTGGCCGAAAGGCAAGTGAACAACATCCCTACAGGGGGAATAAGTTAAACGAGAGTGAGATGGGACCGGGGGTCGAGCGCTTGAGTATCTCTAGAAGCTGGAGCTCTAAAATCCTAGTGGCCCAGGGCTACGCAAGACCCCAAATACTGTTAAGAAGTGTTTTCGGCCACAATAGCCCATTCTGATGGAGCGTGTATTGGTTTCGTTTTGCTGCAAGTCAGCTCATTGTTTGATACGAGGCAGAGTGATGACATTAAGAAACAGGTAAAGAAGAATGGGAGAAAAGAAAAGCATGGTTTAGCATCCCGCCATATGTGACCTCAGACCTCAGTTTGGTGTACAGCTTACCCCCAAGTGAGACCCAACACACACGTTGCCTGATATCACACAATCTTATCAAGTAAAAATTGTGTGAGTTGTTCCTGATTCCGCGTTTGTCTTTAGGAAAGAATATTCACAGGTTGGCAACACATGCAACTTTATTCGAAGCAGCATCATTGCCCATGCCAAAAAGTGTGACTTCCTAGGGTAAATACGCGCGTGACACAGCTTGCATCGCAAGAATGCATTGGAGATGTGTGGAGCGGCTGTTCACAGCGGCCGTCAATCCAAACGACCGCGTGTTCTCTCCGCATCGGGAGCTCCCACATCAAACGCACCGCCCTGGCGCGACGGAAGCGCGCGGATACGTGCCGCGCGCTGACGGTCCGGCCCGGCGGCCACCGAGGCCGGCGGCGGGCCACCGGGCCACGGCCCCCGTCACCCCGCGTCGGCACCGGCGGCAAGCGCAGTCGGCCGCCGGTGCCGACGCGGGGCACGAGCCGGGCGTCGGCGCCGACGCGTGCTCCGTCGACGTCGGCTGGCGGCAGCGGCCGATGCGGTGACGACTGCGGCGCACACTCTCGCCGCTGGTGACGCGGCCGGCCGCCATGCAGGCGGCCTACTCGAAGCGTCAGAAGGAACGGCTGCGACGGAGCGAGGCGCGCCAGCGGCCGTTGGGCCGCACTATCCGCCAGACGCTGGCCGACCTCTGCCGCCAGCTGGTGGTATTCCTCTTCAACCAGGTGGGCGTCGGCTGCCTGCTGCTCGGCTATACGGTGAGCGGGGCGTTTGTGTTCCGATACGCGGAGGCCGAGTACGACCGCGAGCTGACGGCGCGCGTCGAGGAGCACCGGCTGACGGCGGCCCGCTCGCTCTGGCGCGTCACCTGCCAGCTGAACCAGTTCAACGTGACGGAGGCCGACTGGTGGCGGCTGGTGACCAACCTGACCACCAGCTACCAGCACAATGTGACCGGGTTCGTGCGGCGCGGCTACCTTGGCGGCAGCAGCGAACAGAGCATCTGGACGGTGCCCTCATCCATCATCTACTGCATCTCTATCTACTCCACCATCGGTGAGCGACGGCTGCGCTCAGGGCGCGTGACGTGGCACGGTGGTGGGCCGCAGAGGTGCGACGCCCACTCTGCAGCACGCTCCTGCGGTGGGCACACCATGAGAATCTGCGTAAGGGGTCTAGTCATCTAGCCTTGGGGACGGCGTCAAGGCGCACGACCTTACCCGCGCTCAAACCGGGCGCCTGTGCCACGTGTCTGCGCTGACCGAAGGAAAAGTGCCATTAACAGAGAAAACGACACCAACTATTGCGCCCATGCACTAAGAAGGTCCTCCAGTGATGAGGGTTGTTCATTTGTCGTTCTGGGGTATGTTTCAGTTCGGCATAGCCAACGCATACATGGGGGTAATCCTACACTAGTTCATGGTGGTAACGACGAATGTTTTGCTGTTCATGATACAGCTAAATGTTCAGCCTCCCGCGCGCACCTCGACAATTCCAAATCACCAGGAGTGAAAACTGCTGATTCTTGGATTCACGCATCATTCTCTTTCATGCTCATCGAGTTTCAAATGCCTGAGATGTAAATCCATTTATCGGTGCTGCGCTCTTTTCCCTTCCTGTACTCGTTTTCAGAATTGTTCATAAGCCCCCTGGATACCATTGCCCCGCCGGAAACCGTTGAGGCTTTCGACTCCACACGGTTTTCCTCGACCTTTAATGGCTGATACGAATGCCATGTATTGTCCACTTGATCACGACTGTGCAGGGGTCGATCGAGGACTTCGTCAAGTGGGGACATTGTGATCCCCTAGAGCTGGGGCCCCTTCGCCCGAAAATGTTTGTACTCTGGCCATTGAATTTTAAGATTTTTATGCCTGCTATTTGTTTATGCATAAACCTATCTTACTATGCGCGGGCCCAAAAAGCCATGCGTACTACTCATGCAAATACACGGAGCTTGTTCATTTTCTGTAGGTCATAGTGGATCCTGCCATTTTGAGGCTAAGTATCTCGGAGAAAACATGGCAAAATGCGCTAAACTTTGCTGATAAATGCCATCAAAATCAAGCATGAACTTGATTGGTACCTTTTTAACTGTTAGCCGGCCAGTCGATGTGATCAGCCGGTGGGTGGACGATTAACGCTGAGTTTCTGCTTTGGCTGTTATGAAGGAATACGAAATACTCTAGCATCCGGAATGTGTTAAGAACGGGATGCATAAGCATGGCATGTGTCATAAACTCAACAACCAGTGGAAAGGACTTAAACGACGTCGCCGAAACTACTTTGTCCGTGGAAATGATCTGGAAAAAATGGTGCAGCGTACGTTTTTGAAACGGAAAATGCGTACGTTATGTGATTGCCACTTAACACATGGATTTCTCTCACCACTATAGAAGGATGTGGCGTGCACCGGCACATTGAAATATCAAAAAATATTCGCTAGACCTTTCCTGTGGGAGGTCCAGTGTATGTTTGCACGTGGCTCCATATTTCACCAGTCATGAGCAGTTCCCGACAGTCTTAAAAACTCCACGATTCTAGATTGAATCGTTTGAGTAACTGAACCCACGTTGATCCACACGAGAATGCTTACCTGCTTACCTGCACCTCCACTGAGAACATCCTCATGCATCTGCGCAGGTAAGTCGTCATCGGTCGCGGTTCCCGGGTGGACGGGCTAAACAGTGACCTCACCGCCGGTGAGGGCGGCGCTGGGTCTGAGCAGCAGACAAAGACAGGCGGCAGGGGAGCCTCTTACACCCAGACGGCGCGCCCCTGTCCGGTGGGACGGGCGGACCGGTGCTCGGTGCACCACCCGGGCCGGGCCTGAGGGACCGTTTGCGACGGGTGACGGGCGGCTGTTTACGTCCGGCAAACACCGCCCACCGGGGGGGCAGCGCCCCACTGGCCCCGAGGCATGGTGACGTCACGTCGGTGGCAGACGACGCTGAGTTGGAGTGGACGGCGTCAGCAAGGAGAGTGGCGACTCCGGCGCAGCGGGCTGGACTGGAGTTGCTAGTTTGGAGTGGAGTTGCTTGAGGGCTGGATGACGTTATCAGAAGCCAGCACAGGTGCAAAGGGACGGTCATCAGTGACGTTTTCGAGCGCAGAAGTACTAATAGTGCTACCAGCAACGGACTCGTGGATGGAAAACATCACCAGGGGCAGATTCGACCGCAACGGATCTGGCACAGCTGTCGGGGACGCACTTGTGCCCGCGCAATGCATAACATCAGGAACAGTCGTGCAATCAGAAATGGGCAGAATATCCCGCTGGGACACGGCGGCGCGCCTCCGGTGGTATCGTCTGAGGCGAGGGAGCCATAGTATGGGATGCGCTACCTTAATCAGCTCGCAGTCGCACACATTTCTGTGGATGTCTGACAATGTATTTTAGGTGCCGGTCAACATGACCTTTACAATGTATTTTAGATGCCGGTCAGCATGACCTTTACAATGGTGTTTTACATTGCCTTGTCATGCTTTCAACGCATTCTTTCAACGTGCGTGGGAAAACACTATCTCAATAAAATATCGTCAATCAAAGCTCTCTTGCAGAGAAAGGCAGAGACAATTCCTGAACCCAAAGGCAGGGAGGCATTATTGTCCTTACCAGGAACAGTGGCGACACGCTTCTTTGCCTGCCATTCTTGGCATCACCTGTGATGCCGCGAATCCTTCGAAACGCGAAATGTGTTTTAATAATATGTGCTTTAATATATATATATATATATATATATATATATATATATATGTATATATATGTATATATATATGTATATATATATGTATATATATGTATATATATATATATGTATATATATACGGATGTTTATATATACACATTTACCTGTTCATTCAACAGATAATCCATCATTTATGTAAACTAAGTCTGAAATTTGTTTTACACTATAGCTCAACCTACTCGAGAGTGGAGAAATGGTTCACAGGAGTTCAAGCACAAAGTCGCGCATTGTAACATCAGGTCCGCAATTCATCTGTTTGAGGCCGTGGAGAGCTGAAAATGTGATCCCTCGTCGCTCCGAGTTGGGGGCGTCATCCGTTGCCGTTATGGGCCGTGTATGTCATCTGCCGCCATGTCACTCGGTGACGTGCACTCAAACTGGCCTCTCCCGCTCTGACGGCCATCATTAATTAAGTGCGTTTGGCTGCCCGACGAGTGCTACATGATGTGCACCGCGACCCGGAGACAGCTTCCCTGCACTCGGCGCCAGGGCCGGTTGCCCGAGAGGCGACGAGCACCAGTAGGCAGCTCCTGTTCTGATGATTGAGATATGAGCTGTATACCCGGCCTGTCTACCGATGAAGATGTCAGGATGTCAAGCAATTTCTACACTCGCGTTGCCAAACACTTTTGCTGCACAGATGTCTGGCATTGGAACACGAGGTGGTAATATGTCTTAACATGTCTTTGAACTGTGGCCTGATATCAGTACATTGATTGCCACCATTTGGTTGGTGCCACCACGGATCAGCCAACAGTACACATGCTTCATAGTCGAATAACCACTTAATATCCGCGATATCCACAGGCGTAGTTTTGCCATGAAGGGAGCGCAACGTTACTTGGCTACTGGCGTGCGATTTCGTGGTATATTTGCCAAGCTTTCAACTCGGCATTTGTGTGGTGTCGGCTGCTCCGCCCGCCGCCACGATAGGGCCATCGCGCCGTCAAGCTGAGACCGCCGCGGAGAGGTCAGCTGGCGCTAGGTTTGCTCGACCTTGTCACCCACTCGGGACGACGGGGTGGAGTGGACTGGGGAGGGGGGGGGGCGTCAGTGTCGTCACAGCTACCACTCCCACTGGCCAAGTGTGAGGTGGGGACGTCAGCTACGCTCTCGCACACTCGGCATCAGCATCGAATAACAGCCGCCGCTATTTGGGGATGGCGCGGCCATTGGCCCGTGAAGAAGGCCGGGACGCTTTGGCTGCCAACCGGCGGCTGAAGAGACCCGAGCCGTGTAAGTGCCTCCATGTTCACAAAAATGCCGGTGCAGACACTGACAGCAAGGGCAACAAACGCTCGGTGTGGGAGCTGGCTGTCGTAAATGGCTCTCATTTCTCTCCACGAGCACGCTGAGGGTGTTACGTCGTTTATGCTGGTCTCCAGTGAGCGGGCCGACGTTTCGTAGAGCGCCACATTTGCCGGTCTTCAGGGAAGGGGCCGGTGTTATATGGAAGTGCACGTGACGAGAGCCGGACAATTTGTCCCATTGTGGTGCTCCAGGTTAGCACTGGCATTGTGTCGATTCCGTTACAGTTTACCATTATGACATTTGAGTTTCGAACACTGACATACCGCAGCGGCCATGTACAGGGGTGCAGCCACCCTCCCTCTCCTAAGGCCCAGATCTCTTCGTGCCTCACCATAGATGGCTCCCCGACAGAAAGTTAAAATCGGCGTGATGCGTACTCACCGAGCTCCGTTCTCCCTCCCCCCCCCCCCCCCCCACACACGTCAAGACAGTTCCGACTGTGCCACTAATCATGTGTGAAGAATAGAAAATGAATTTTTCATGTGTTTACGTTACTTGACCTTTTGTTTATCATCCAAGGTACAGTTTATAACTCACGATGCAGTGTTTATGCCATTAAATGGGTCATTTCGCTTGTATATGAGGATTTGGACCCGGCAGCCGCTATGTTCCAAACTCCGCTCCCGCCGGCCACGCCACCGCTCACGCCGCTCGGCCGCGCCGCCGCAGGCTATGGCTACCTCACACCGCGCACCACCTGGGGCAAGGTGTGCACCATCATCTACGCCATCATCGGCATCCCGCTGATGCTGCTCTACATGTCCAACGTGGGCGCCGTACTCGCCAACTTCTTCAAGTTTGTCTACTTCCGCATGTACCGGTGAGGCGCTGTCGGCGGTTCGTGAGGGGCGGGGTGCGTCGCCGCGCCAAGGTACAAGGCCAGCTTAGTGGCTGTTTATGACGGCTGCGTAGACTAGCTTTTTTATTCGGATAGGACAAGATGGTCGTCTGCTTCATGACTGCTAGTTAAGTATGATGACGTCCGAGACTCACTGATGTGGTAATGTGTTGATTCAGGAAAGGTTATTAATCTTATGACAGTAATGTTAATGTTAACGATGCATCAAATGCTTTGGTCGTGGGCTTGGCGATCCCACGTTACCTGCAAGCGTGAAAGCAGAAACGCGACCGGAATTACGTCTCCAACTAGGATTGCGAAGATGTGAGCGTGGCAACGCGTGCGGGCGCCATTCCCGTAAGCGCGCGGTCTCCTTGCATGGACCGCCCATTGTGACGGTGATGGGCAGCCGTGCTCAGACCTTGGCCGTCATCTGAGCCAGCTTGCCACACAGGTACCGCGTCTGGCGTTTGGGTGCGTCGCTCGTCTCACAGAAGACATTGCTGGGGCTCTTAGCCGTTGTCGTAGAGCATTTCCACCCGCTCAGATTTGAGGGATAGCTCGCAAGTCGATTGTTTTGTGATTTAGACTAAACATTGGACTAAGCGTTGAAACAACGTATTTTACATTATATTGGCTTCCTGTCCAAGCATAAAAGTTAGGATAATATTTCAATTAATGATGTCTTTTATGTACTTTTTGGGACCAATTTATGTCAATTTTCACGGAAGTAGAACACAACTTTCATCTTCTGGATCATGATTCATCGGGAGGCGAATGCAAATTATTTGTAGTTTTTGCAAAGTCAAGATCTTGCAGCAAAAAAGCTGTACGAGGCCTATAGCGGTTGACATCAAGATCATGAAACCTTGGGGCAAACTTTTTCATAGGACACTATGAGCCATGCCTGATGTAAAGTACGCCACTTCTAAGAATGTCCGGCTGTTACGCGAGGCGGTTGTACGCCTGTCTACCGTGGTGCACGACGCTCGAAAATCTCCGCAGATGACCATCTGACTGTGGGCTGGCATGACAACCCCGTAGCTTTAAGAGCCGTGCTCACAAAATACCGTACACATTTGATTTATTGCGTTCACTTCTTTCCGTCTGCTTATTCCTAAATCCGTACATATCACATGAACCCACAAACCAGTCACAGTTCAATGCCGCAAGTCATTCCCGCCATTCGCACCGTTACCATGTTACAATGTTACGTGACCTGGCTCCGTTGTGAAAACGGTTATTACGTTAACCAGCTGTGCGGCATGCGGCACCTGGGCCTTCGGCCCACGGTCGGCGGCTGTCTTCGCGGCCAGCGCCGTACGCCGAGTATTCGCCGAGATTCCCGGCACGTGGCCGCTATGTCCGGCCTCTCTGCCCGGACTGCCGACAATTGGGGACGCTGACCTGGGGAGGGACGCCGCCACTTGCGGCGCGGCAGGATTGTCACCCGGCGGGGTCACGTCCTCCTGAGGTGCCGAGAGAGCTCCGGCGCTGAACGACTTGATGAGACGCCATTTGAGGAGTCATTTACCGAGCCAAGACCATGTCGGACAGACTCGGCGAACACGGCCCTCCGAAACACGGCGCCTTATCAATCATGACCTTGGCACTGACCTCGACAGAGGCACAAGTACGAGTCAGACAAAAATGGTGCTTGGCGGATGTCAGAAAAACTGTCACATATCTGGAAACATCAATCAAGAACCCTGCTTGTGTGTATTGCTCGGGCATTGTCACCAACAGGCAGAGCTAGAAGGTGGCTGATTTATTTCCAGCGACTGGCACACCGAGCCAGGCGAACTGAACGCCGGTTGGCCGGCACCACATCGTGATGAGTGTGGGTTTCCACCGCTTTCCCCGCTCCCGCGACCGGCCGAATGTCAGTGGAGCGAGAAGCCGGTGCGCGCTGCTGACGAGGGCGGCCGGTCGTGTCCGCGCCGTGAGAACTCACCGTTAAAGCCCGATCGTTGGCGCTCATGCCGGCTTACGGCGCGCCGTGCGTGCGTGCGTGCGTGCGTGCGTGCGTGCGTGCGTGCGTGCGTGCGTGCGTGCGTGCGTGCGTGCGTGCGTGCGTGCGTGCGTGCGTGCGTGCGTGCGTGCGTGCGTGCGTGTGTGTGTGTGTGTGTGTGTGTGTGTGTGTGTGTGTGTGTGTGTGTGTGTGTGTGTGTGTGTGTGTGTGTGTGTGTGTGTGTGTGTGTGTGTGTGTGTGTGTGTGTGTGTGTGTGTGTGTGTGTGTGCAGGGGGGGGGGGGGCGCTTTTACCAGCGGTGATATTCGGCGGTCCCGGGGGCCGGGATCGGTCTGAAGAAATCAGTCACTCCGGCAGAACGTCTGGAGATGACGCCATGGACGCGACTGGCAGGTCCTAGTGTAATGTAATTACAAGCGGGGGCTTGGTAACGTGTGATTGGACAAAGTGACCACCCAGGGGCAATCGTAAGGTTCTAGTGTATAGCGCAAAACAAGCAGTAGCCAAAACCTCTCGGGCCAGCCGGTCGGCCAAACGGGTAGTCATTTTAGCCGGTGGTGGGGACTGGAACTTTGATTTTTCGTGAGAGCTGCTGGAAAGCCATTGGCCTTTATCGTAGGGCAGGGGAAGAATGAACATATAATGACTCTATAGAGTTTAGCTCTCACTTTTTCTGACGTCTCCGCGTCGCTGGCCCAAAACACCGCGCCTTACGCCCTTCTGAGACTGCTGACAGGGCGATGTCACCTTTCCGGAAGTTTTTGGCAGCCAGCCAGGTGATCGCTCAGCCAGGTCCATCAGTGTGTTTCGACGAGCGGTGCCAGGCGCATCGGCACACGTGGCAAAATACCGCTGAGCACCAGCTCACAAGTAGTCGAACGCAACACAGCCCTGCCATGCCCTCTAGTCTCGGCAGAAATGCTAAACCTCAAAGCCAGAGTGAGGCCATAAACTTGCTGCGATACGCGATCTCGCCTATTAGACGATTTGGAAGGATGCTGCACTCTGTGGCAGTAAGACATCAACTGGAGAAACTGTGTTGGATCAAAACCACCAACGATGCGTTAACTGCACTCTTCAGTCCTGATATGCCATGCTGGTGTGCCACAAGTGCTCGAAGCACGCGGAGACGAGTTGAAGGCTGCGCGACATATATGTGATGTAATTTTGGAGTAAGTCACGGCATCCCTGGTTATCAGCGGAAGGTGGGCGACACGGTACCCAGAACACCGTCTAGGGCAGACAGGCTATGCAAAGCACCATGCACACCCGACGTTAAATTGTCAAATACAGTCAGACCAAATACATGTTCTGCTGCCCGCCCAGCCCTCACTAGCCCGTATACGAAGCTGTGCCGTCGGCCAGCGCGAGTGCAGCACCCGACCTCCGCGCGGTGGAGCCGTGCTCTGCGCCCCAGCACGCTGCCGGGTGGTGGGCGCGGCGCCCTCGGCTGGCGCGCGCCGGGACGACATCCGTCAGGCGCCAGTGGCCGAGGACAGCTTCCGATTCCCGCGACGCTGCGGCAGGCCGGCGGCGGCGGCGGCGGCCATCCGCACACGGAGCGCACGGAATCCAAACTGAGATTTAGATGAGAAAGATACCGAAATCCGCAGTGCTGCAACCGGGCACAAAGAACGAAAGCCAAGATCTAGATGAAGTGAAAATAGTTGTTTCTGCATCAATGGAGCGTTCCGTGTAAAGGCTCAGTAAGCATTGCCGACATACAGGCAATATTCAAGGGGAACACTTGCGAATATTTTACCATGTGATAGGTGGCTCATTTTGTCTTGGTCGGCCCAGGAAGCATGCATGGCCTAGAGTCGTACTAAACCCAGCGTTTTTATGTAGCAGTTGAGACAACCAGCAGCTATTGCCCCCTGGAGTTACATTAAGCCGGAAATTGTTTTCCTCCGCCACTCGCTGCCTCTGTTTTGCTCCAGTCATAATGACGTGTCGAGCTGGCCTCATAGAGCACTGACTGTTCGCCAGCATCATTTTTAGCGTCGCTTATGTTCAGGCTGTCAGGGAACAGCCGAGCTACTCCGTTAGAGGCGGGCAATATTAATCAAAAGAGGGCACGCTAACGACGTCCGCGACCAATGGGCCCTGCGCGCCTCGATGGAGTCACGTTCCGTTCTGGCCGGCGCCCTGACGTCTCTCCGACACGGCGCCGGCGTCTGCGGCGCCCGGCCTGGCCCGTCCGTCGTCGGTCACCACCCCTGCCCGCCCCTCGGCCGACCGAAGCAGGTCAGCGGTCGCGGCGCCGCCGGGCGGGCCCGATTAGCCGGTCGGCAGAGCGGCGGGAGAATTGGCACCGACGCGGTGCCATACAGGCGGGCTTCTGCCCGGCGCGTAGTCAATTCTACCTTGGCTCGCCTGTGAGGCAAGACTACCGTGCACCGATAAGAAACAAGGTCGTGCCAGATCAACAGAGGTGCAAGTTTCAGAGGTGTGCAAACTGAAGTGCATGGCTCTCGCTAACGACGTGCCGTGAGCTCCCTCACTGAACCGTGTCGTGAGCTCCATCCCTGATGCCGTGTTGTGAGCTCCCTCTCTGGCGCCATGTTGTGAGCTTCCTCCCTGATGCGGTGTTGTGAGCTCCCTCCCTGACGCCGTGTCGTGAGCTCCCTCCCTGATGCCGTGTTGTGAGCTTCTCCCTGATGCGGTGCCGTGAGCTCCCTCCCTGATGCCGTGCCCTGAGCTCCCCCACTGACGCCGTGACGTGAGCTCCCTCCCTGATGCCGTGTTGTGAGCTTCCTCCCTGATGCGGTGTCGTGAGCTCTCTTGCGGACACCATGCCGTGAGCTCCCTTGTGGACACCATGCCGTGAGCTCCCTCTCTGACGGCGTGCCGTGAGCTCCCCCACTGACGCCGCCCTTCCTCTGGCGGCAGGCGGCGGCGGCGCGCCCATCTGCGGGCCGACTACCTGGGCGTGGCCAGTGGGCCGGCGTCGGTCAGCGTGTCGGAGGGCCTGGCGGCGCTGGCACGGCATGACGAGCCCACCACGGTGCCAATCGCCGGCTGCGTGCTGGTCATGGCCGGTTACGTGCTGGCCGGCGGTCTCCTGTTCGGCGAGTGGGAGGGCTGGACCTACCTGGACGGCTCCTGGTTCTGCTTCGTGTCGCTCGTGTCGGTCGGCTTCGGCGACCTCGTGCCAGGCTTCTCGGCGCGCGAGGCGGACAGCAGCGCTGTCGACGTCAAGCTTATCATCTGCGCTGTGTATCTGCTGCTCGGGATGTCGCTCATAGCTATGTGCTTCTCACTGATGCAGGAGGACGCAATCGGCAAGCTGCGCAAGTTTATGATGCGTATCGGCTGTCTGAGGCCGGCGAGCTCTGACGACTGGGACGCCACCACCAGCAGTGACCCCGTGCCCTGACGCGTGCCCGGCGCCGTACCAGCAGTGGCCCCAGGCTCTGACTGTCTGAGGCCGGCGAGCTCCGACGATTGGGATGCCGCCACCAGCAGTGACCCCGTGGCCTGACCCGTGCCTAGCGCCATACCAGCAGTGACCCCGCGCCCTGACTGTCTGAGGCCGGCGAGCTCCGACAACTGGGACGCCGCCACCAGCAGTGACCCCGTGCCCTGACCCGTGCCCGGCGCCGTACCAGCAGTGACTCTGCGCTCTGACCCGTGCCCGGCGCCGTCGTGAGGCGCTCAGAGAACGCTGCCTCTGATGTGTCACCGACCGGGGCCGAGCGCAGGGTCCGCCACCGCCCGCCATTTAACATTCTGAGCCGGTGTCGCCGTCGTCGGCGGCTCGTCGATCGATCGCGGAGACGTCGCGTCGGCGGGGCGCCGGGCCAAGTGAGCACCGGCCGCCGCATCCCGGCAGCACCAAACAAACAGAGCCGCCGGCCGGTCTATTAACCGTTTGTACATGGCCCGACGCGCCTCACCGGTATCAACAAACACGCTGGTGCGCCTTTGAGTGACGCCGGCACAGAAACGCCGACGCGCGCGCCCGCACACGGGCGCCGGGGACGGCACCGGCAGGGCGACGCCTGTCAGCGCGCCGCGAGCCCGCACACGGGCGCCGGGGACGGCACCGGCAGGGCGACGCCTGTCAGCGCGCCGCGCGCCCGCACACGGGCGCCGGGGACGGCACCGGCAGGGCGACGCCTGTCAGCGCGCCGCGAGCCCGCACACGGGCGCCGGGGACGGCACCGGCAGGGCGACGCCTGTCAGCGCGCCGCGGGCCCGCACACGGGCGCCGGGGACAGCACCGGCAGGGCGACGCCTGTCAGCGCGCCGCGAGCCCGCACACGGGCGCCGGGGACGGCACCGGCAGGGCGACGCCTGTCAGCGCGCCGCGAGCCCGCACACGGGCGCCGGGGACGGCACCGGCAGGGACGACGCCTGTCAGCGCGCCGCGGGCCCGCACACGGGCGCCGGGGGACGGCACCGGCAGGGCGACGCCTGTCAGCGCGCCGCGAGCCCGCACACGGGCGCCGGGGACGGCACCGGCAGGGCGACGCCTGTCAGCGCGCCCGCGAGCCCGCACACGGGCGCCAGGGGACGGCACCGGCAGGGCGACGCCTGTCAGCGCGCCGCGAGCCCGCACACGGGCGCCGGGGACGGCACCGGCAGGGCGACGCCTGTCAGCGCGCCGCGGGCCGCACACGGGCGCCAGGGACGGCACCGGCAGGGCGACGCCTGTCAGCGCGCCGCGAGCCCGCACACGGGCGCCGGGGACGGCCCGGCATGGGCGACGCCTGTCAGCGCGCCGCGAGCCCGCACACGGGCGCCGGAGACGGCACCGCAGGGCGACGCCTGTCAGCGCGCCGCGAGCCGCACACGGGCGCCGGGGACGGCACCGGCAGGGCGACCGCCTGTCAGCGCGCCGGCGTGCCCGCACAACGGGCGCCGGGGACGGCACCGGCAGGGCGACGCCTGTCAGCGCGCCGCGAGCCCGCACACGGGCGCCGGGGACGGCACCGGCAGGGCGACGCCTGTCAGCGCGCCGCGAGCCCGCACACGGGCGCCGGGGACGGCAACCGGCAGGGCGGACGCCTGTCAGCGCGCCGCGCGCACCGCACACGGGCGCCGGGGACGGCACCGGCAGGGCGACCGCCTGTCAGCGCGGCCGCGAGCCCGCACACGGGCGCCTGGGGACGGCACCGGCAGGGCGACGCCTGTCAGCGCGCCGCGAGCCCGACACACGGGCGCCGGGGACGGCACCGGCAGGGACGACGCCTGTCAGCGCGCCGCGAGCCCGCACACGGGCGCCGGGGACGGCACCGGCAGGGCGAGCCTGTCAGCGCGCCGCGAGCCGCACACGGGCGCCGGGGACGGCACCGGCGGGACGACGCCTGTCAGCGCGCCGCGGACCGTGCACGGGCGCCGGGGACGGCACCGGCAGGGCGACGCCGTCGGCGCGCCGCGGGCCCGCACACGGGCGCCGGGGATGGCACCGGCGGGACGACGCCCGTCGGCGCGCCGCGGGCCCGCGCGCGAAATGGATGGCGTCGGCGCGTCGGCACCGACGAGGTGACGAGTGGCGGAGAGCGGCACCGCGGTGGCGGCGCGGCGGCGCCGGCCGGCACGACGGACGGCGCCGGACGGCGTGCGGGGAGGTGCAGCGTGCGCGGGTGGCGCACATCCGGCTGAGATTACAATACAACGCGATCACCGTGAACAATGAACATCGACACACATCACTGCACAACGACAGTCGGCTCTGTCGTCCTTGCGTGGCTTCGCCCCAGCCCTCGCGGGGGTCATGATCGGGATCGCCGGGACCCGACACCCGGCCTGTCCCACTGCGGCACCGCTCGGCCGCCGGCCGCCGGCCGCCGCCGGCGTCACTGGCCGACGGCCGGCGATTTCTTGTCCGAGTCCTGCGAGTTGGGCGTGGAGGCCTGCGGCGGCGGCGGCCGCTCGCCGCTGGTCCAGCTGCCACCGGACGTCAGCGGCGAGGAGGTGTAGTTGTTCTCCTCGAGCAGGCCGGCGCTGGCGGGGGCAGGCGCCGCGCCGCCCGGCCCGGCCGCCGACGGGTCGCACTGGGCGTTCTCTAGCCGCGTGATGAGCCGCTCGTCCTCGTCCCCGAACTCACCGCCCATCAGAGACGGCTCGCCCACCATCATCACGTCCTGCGGCACGGTCACCGTCATCAGATCACGACCCTCATCGTCAAGGCGCACCTGCGGAAATATCTTTTGTTGGGGAAGGGGTAGGGCGTGTGAGGCACATCGGCATCGATGACCATTTTGAGACCTCCCAGTAGTTATCGTTTCGCATTATTTAGTCCTCTCTCTGCCGCACAAGGAAGCGGGTCTGGCCAGGCAGGGACGCAATCGTTGCCGGGCAGCGGTGCAGTAGAGGATAGAGATACAGGCTAAAGGAGTGTCAAAAGTCGACGGGCGGCATCCAGGAAGAAGCCAGAGACAAAATATGGCGAGACGCCGGGAGAAGCACGAAAACTGAATTGAAGTGGTGTTGATAGTTCGCGAGACTAATGTGGAATTCAGATATTTTGCAAGGCAGACAGCTGCAGTACAATCGCAGACAGCAGATGCCTTTGTGGTTAATGAAAGTAATAAGTGATGCACGTTGCAACAACAGTAGTGTATTCGTTGACATGCATTACTTTCTAAACACTTCAGCGCTCATGCATCACGCCCAGAACTCATGCAGTGATGATCAAATCCTAGGGCGGCTCTGACACTAGTGGTGTTTCGAGATGGGGTCAGCTATTTAAAGCACAGGCAAAAGCAAACAAGCCTCTCCCGAAAAGAGGGGAGCTGAGAGAGCGGACGCTGCCGATACAGAAGCGGTCGAGTGAACTGCCAAATGCATTCCGCTCAGTGCTGGGCAGATGTCAGCTGCTGTTGAGCTCGGTCAGCTCGCAGCTTGCACGCGAAGAGAGGGTGTTGAAACATGCCAGCTCTGATCACAGAGCAGCGCTTTGCCTCCGTATGAGTGACGTCACCCTCGCCGTTAGGCCGCGAGCCGGGCGGGCCAGGGCACGACCCACCCAGGGGGGAACCCTTACACTGACTTGTCCTGCGAGGCTGATGGGCGGTCGGCCCTTCTTGTTGGCGGCGCCGGCCGCTGCGCCTGCTGCTCCCTTCCTCTTCCGACGCTTGCTCGGCGGCCGCTGACTCTCTGCGGACACGGGCGGGGGTGTCACGGTCAGCGGGCTGACACGCGGCACCGGCCGGCCAGATGGCAGCACCGGCCGACTCCGCACTCGCTAGAGGGAGTCACTGGTAGGGTTATGTTCGAGACGTTATTACACAGGCTTATTCAGGTGAGGTGCAGTGGCTACGACGCAAACACCAAAGAATCTGCGCCCGCTCCATTTGCAGACTAGTGGCCGTGGTCGCTTCCACCTGTTTGCACGCTGTGGTACAATAAATGCATTGGTTGATATAAAACCGACCCAAAGTGCGATCAAAATGGCTGCCATGGCCGCCTGTGAGGGATTTCGGTTCATATTCGTAAACCAGTACAGTTCACAGTATGTTAATGCCTGGAGAGTGACCAACGAGCATCCTATACATCTAGATCACCGCTGAGATTTCTCTTTGCATCATTTCGCGTGCTGGACGGTGCAAGTGTGAAGCATTGTTGTATTTGCTTCACAAGAAATGCAGCAATCTCCACGGAAAAGTAACTCAAGTCAAACTTAAAGTCATCCATGCACGTATAGCGAGGACTGGCGGGCATCTCTGTCATATGTAAGAACTGTCAGTTACGTGAATGCTGCATGGCTGCTTCATGAATTCTCCAAAAGAAATTTGATCAAATACTCGCAGCGTTACAAGCCAGACCACAACACGTGATGAAACGAAAGGCGTCCGACACATGCGTTAGCCGACGGGCGGGCTGAGGCGTACTACTGGCTGGCGACGCCCGGACAACGCGGTCCGTCGCGGACCCGCGCATACACGGGGTTGGCGTACGCCCGGACCACCGCGTCCGGAGCCGGCCCGAACAAGGCGCCACACGTGTGGGGAGAGCACGGAAGTGTCTGCACACACTTTTCAGAATGGTCTCTGATCTAGGACAGGCGGTGTATCAGAGAAGCCAACACAACTGTGAGGTCAGGCGCGCCAGAGCGCTCGGATCCCTCGCTGGCACGCGGGGGAGGGGGGTGAGGCATGCGTTCGTGTTACCGTCTCGGTCCGGTTAGTGAGCAGAAAGCACGGGCGGCTGCGGCAGCTCAACGTACCTTCCGGTTTGCTAGGGTTGCGATTTGGCCCACCTACAGGGCGGAACACAAAAACATCAAATCAACCAAACGAAACCGAACGCAACGAAACCAGGCTGTCAACACAACGTGGTAGTACATGGGAAGCTTTCAGATCCAAGGAGAGAGGGTCGATGAGCCTGGATTTACAACAGCATGCAAGTGTGTAAACACTATCGTCAGTATCGCGTGCGATAGCACGCTATCAGGCCGCAAGATATGCCTCGATAACATCTGCAATGAAGCCTGAGAAGTAAGCATAACCTTGCTGGCGTAGGGAGGGAATCAAAAGGCAAAGCTACGCTTCTACTCCCATACGTGATGCATGCATATACTGCATCTGACTCATTTCTATTGTCTGTCACTGATATCAATATTTTCTATTCTCATCCTGAATGGTATTTTCTGTGCGTTTGCCGCAGGCACTGACATAAATTATTTTGATGACATTTACGGCACACTTCAGTGTGAATAAAGTGTCCAGCATGTTTAAACTGTGTGATGGAATAAGCGTAGCGAAACTGATAGCGAGCTGCGTGTGGCGATAGAGCCAAAAAGATTAGTACAACTAGTAGAACCGGCACGATATAAATGCAAAAGCAGCAACGTTAGAAGCGACAGGACAGCGGAGACAGTTGATTGCTCTGCGTAGCCAGAAGCCTGAGTTTCACTCTGCATCCGACGCCGTTCATGTACATCTCATATACGGAATATGATATTCAAAAAATGCATTTGAAGCAGAGAAGCATCAATATGACCATACATTTCTCCAACATATGCACTGCCAGCATTCGTGTTCAGACTGTGGAGGGCAATTGCAATGCGCGTTAAGTCCAGAAACACCATGTCTGAAAAGAACACTCATACCAGCTGGCACTAAAACCACACGTTGCATACCAAAAAGCAAGCAGAAAAGCAAATAAACTGTCCCGCTCAATTTTGAAAGCCCGTCGGTGCGTTAAACCGTCCTAGCAGACCAGCGCCAGTAAGCTTCCGACTTCACCCACCTGGCGGCGCCACCATGCGTTGCCATTTCTGGAAGAGGGTCGTTTTCAGGCAGTCGCGGGGGCTGAGCGAGTACGCCTTGTGCCGGGTCATCAGCTCCTGCATCGGCTCCAGGATAACACACAGCTGCGGGCGGGGAGCGCCTCGTCAGCACCCGAGGGGTACCCCGCCAACAACTCCGGTGTCCAGCCAGAGGCGGATGTAAACGACCTGTTACTGCCCAGTGACCAGTGTCTGACCAACATCTGACGAGAAGCCCAGTGTCAGGTCAGCCGTCGTTAAGTGCTCAAAGATCTACGAACAGCATTTTACATGGCAATGATGGGATTTACGCAAACCTAAAACGAATACACTCCCCTTTGGTTGACGAATACACTTCCCCTTCGTTTACGAATGCACCCTCCCTTGGTTAACGTCACTGATGATCGACATATTAGCTTCTCATGACATGACAGAATGGCTTCTGGCTTAAGTCAACTTTTAGACGCACGTTTGGATTACACGGGGTTCTAAGCTCAGGCTTACATGCGATGTGTAACGCTTCATATTGTGGACCCAGAACACACCCCGCATACTACGGAGTAACATGACAACTTTGAAATAGTCCCGGTATGACATTGCCACTCAAAGCAGGCATCCAGGATCAATCGCGATACCAGGAGTGCGATACCAGGAGTGAGCAGCTACCTGGGAGTACGCTATAAGTCTGAGCAGTAGCCTGAGGGCGATGTCACCAGCTGCTATCGACAGTCCGACAGTGACGCCGTCAGCTGTGATCAACGCTACGGAGGTAACGTCACTAGCCGCGATCGAAAGTACGGAGGTAACGTCACCAGCCGCGATCGACAGTCTAACAGTAACGTCACCAGCCGCGATCGACAGTCCGACAGTGACGTCGTCAGCTGCGATCAACGCTACGGAGGTAACGTCACTAGCCGCGATCGACAGCCCGACACACGCCAGATGTGATCAACTCTAACAGTAACGTCACAGCCGCGATCGACAGCCCGACAGTGACGCCGCCAGCTGATCAACGCTACGGAGGTAACGTCACTAGCCGCGATCGACAGCCCGACAGTGACACCGCCAGCTGTGATCAACATTACGGAGGTAACGTCACTAGCCGCGATCGACAGCCCGACAGTGACCCGCCAGCTGTGATCACACTACGGAGGTAACGTCACCAGCCGTGATCGACATTCCGGAGGTAACGTCATCAGCCGCGATCGACAGTGCGGCGGTGACGTGACTCGCCGTGAGCGACAGTCCGGAGGTAACGTCATCAACCGCGATCGACGGTGCGGCGGTGACGTGACCAGCCGTGATCGGCAGTCCGGAGGTAACGTCATCAGCCGTGCTCGACAGTGCGGCGGTGACGTGACTCGCCGTGAGCGACAGCCTGACCGGTGACGTGACAGACCCTGAGGTAGTTGAGAGTGACGTTGGTAAGTCCCTGGCGGGTGATGTTCTTGCTGAGCTGCTCTACCAGGCCCGGGTCCTGCTGCACGTGCAGGGCCACCACCGAACGAGGCACCAGCTCCTTGACGCCGCGCGTGGCGAAGTGCCATGACTTGATGCGCATCAGGTCATCGAAGGTGAACTCGACGATGAAGCGGCCTTCGGCGCAAACCTGTAGCGAGGTCGGGGTCAAACGTGGGCGGGGTCAGACAGGGTCGGGGTCAGACGTGGGGGACGCAGCGCACCGGTCAGACAGACCAGGGACTCTTGCAATTAGGGGTGGGGTCAGCCAGGAGCAGAGACGCTGGCAGGCAGGGGTGGGGTCAGACAAGAGCAGAGACGTTGGCAGGCAGGGACGGGGTCAGACAAGGGCAGAGACACTGGCAGCAGGAGTGGGGTCAGAAAGGGGCGGAGACGCCGGCAGGCAGGGGTGGGGTCAGACAAGAGCAGAGACACTGGCAGCAGGAGTGGGGTCAGACAGGGTCGGGGTCAGACGTGGGGGACGCGGCGCACCAGTCAGACGGACCAGGGACTCTTGCAATTAGGGGTGGGGTCAGCCAGGAGCAGAGACGCTGGCAGGCAGGGGTGGGGTCAGACAAGAGCAGAGACGCTGGCAGGCAAGGACGGGGTCAGACAAGGGCAGAGACACTGGCAGCAGGAGTGGGGTCAGACAGGGGCGGAGACGCCGGCTGGCAGGGGTGGGGTCAGACAAGAGCAGAGACACTGGCAGCAGGAGTGGGGTCAGACAGGGGCGGAGACGCCGGCAGGCAGGGGTGGGGTCAGACAGGGGCAGAGACACTGGCAGCAGGAGTGGGGTCAGACAGGGGCGGAGACGCCGGCAGGCAGGGGTGGGGTCAGACAGGGGCAGAGACGCTGGCAGCGGGAGTGGGGTCAGACAGGGACGGAGACGCCGGCAGGCAGGGGTGGGGTCAGACAGGGGCGGAGACGTTGGCAGGCAGAGGCGGGGTCAGACAGGAGCAGAAACGTTGGCAGGCAGAGGGGGAGGGGGTCAGGCAGGAGCAGAAACGCTGGCAGGCAGAGGCGGGGTCAGGCAGGAGCAGAGACGCTGGTAGGCAGGGGCGGGGTCAGACAGGGATGGGGTCAGACAGGGGCGGGGTCAGACAGGGGCGAAGACGCTGGAGGGCAGGGCAGGATCAGGCAAGGGCGGGGTCAGACGTGGGTGGGGTCAGACAGGGGTGGGGTCAGTCAGGGGCGGAGACGCTGGCAGGCAGCCAGCTGAGTCGTGCTTCACTGACACATTTGCAGGACTGACGGGATATAGCCAAAGCACAGGGCAACAAACACGTATCATTCATGGGGTGCCGCTACGCTGTGACATGCACAAGGTGTCCACAACACGTTTCATGACAGCCGAGCACGTTTTCGATTGTAAAACTTGGCGGCATGGGCAAGAAATTAAATTCGAAAACAACCTGCATGTGAGCTGAGATCCCCATGTGTGGCGTCTGTACGACACTTCTCTGCTAAGGTATGGGTTATAATGCTAAAAATAATCGATCTCGCATCCATCGAGGTACTAGCCGGACGAATCGACCAAGCGGCCAGTGGAATATATTATACAAATATTCCCAACGTTTTCAACAATTATGATCAGTTGACTATGAATCATGAGGTTAACCATAGCGCAAACGTGTTACAATTAGCTTTCAAGTTGTCCCCCAGTGAGTGGACTGTTAATTTTTCAGCATCATAACCCATGATGCCGAACACCGTGAGGCTGATTTCTTTCAATGCGATATAGTGCATTTCTGCGAACAACTGAATTTCGAATTGCCTCGCCGCACGGTGGATGATCACCAAAAGACGTCGGCAATCGGATAGATAGCAACTCCACGGTTCACCACGGTGTTTCTATCGCTACGGTGGTGAGCTGGATAATCCACATACCAGAAGCTCCCCTGTAAAGTGATGATATTCTGGCAAACCATTTCCGACTCCGTTAACAACAAGTGACCTTTGCTAGATCACGTGAGATCCCGCATGACGCCGCCGCTGACCTTGGCTATCATGGGCTTGCCGTGATGGGTCACCATGCTGGCCTGGTCGCAGTCGAGCGTGATGCTGGTGTTGTGGAACGACTCCTTGGGGTGACGCAGACTGAAGAAGAGGTCAGTGACGCCGCCCTCGAAGATGCTCCGGAAGTAGCGCGGGATGAGTGTGCGGCCGATGGCTGGGGACGGGAGCCGCAGTGGTAAGTGTGTGGCCGATGGCTGGGGACGGAAGCCGCAGCGATAAGTGTGCGGCCGACGGCTGGGAACGGGAGTCGCAGCGATAAGTGTGCGGCCGACGGCTGGGGACGGAAGCCGCAGCGGTGAGTGTGCGGTCGATGGCTGGGGACGGAAGCCGCAGCGGTGAGTGTGCGGTCGATGGCTGGGGACGGGAGCCGCAGCGGTGAGTGTGCGGCCGATGGATGGGGACGGAAGCCGCAGCGGTGAGTGTGCGGCCGATGGCTGGGGACGGGAGCCGCAGCGGTGAGTGTGCAGCCGATGGCCAGGGACGGGAGCCGCAGCTGTGAGCATGCGGACGATGGCTGGGGACGGAAGCCGCAGCGGTGAGTATGCGGACGATGGCTGGGGACGGAAGCCGCAGCGGTGAGTATGCGGACGATGGCTGGGGATGGGAGCCGCAGCGGTGAGTGTGCGGCCGATGGCCAGGGACGGGAGCCGCAGCTGTGAGCATGCGGACGATGGCTGGGGACGGAAGCCGCAGCGGTGAGTATGCGGCCGATGGCCAGGGACGGGAGCCGCAGCTGTGAGCATGCGGACGATGGCTGGGGACGGAAGCCGCAGCGGTGAGTATGCGGACGATGGCTGGGGACGGAAGCCGCAGCGGTGAGTATGCGGACGATGGCTGGGGACGGGAGCCGCAGCTGTGAGCATGCGGACGATGGCTGGGGACGGAAGCCGCAGCGGTGAGTGTGCGGCCGATGGCCAGGGACGGGAGCCGCAGCTGTGAGCATGCGGACGATGGCTGGGGACGGAAGCCGCAGCGGTGAGTGTGCGGCCGATGGCCAGGGACGGGAGCCGCAGCTGTGAGCATGCGGACGATGGCTGGGGACGGAAGCCGCAGCGGTGAGTGTGCGGCCGATGGCCAGGGACGGGAGCCGCAGCTGTGAGCATGCGGACGATGGCTGGGGACGGAAGCCGCAGCGGTGAGTGTGCGGCCGATGGCTGGGGATGGGAGCCGCAGCGGTGAGTGTGCGGCCGATGGCTGGGGACGGAAGCCGCAGCGGTGGGTATGCGGACGGTGGCTGGGGATGGGAGCCGCAGCGGTGAGTGTGCGGCTGATGGCCAGGGATGGGAGCCGCAGCTGTGAGTGTGTGGCCGATGGCCAGGGACGGGAGCCGCAGCGGTGAGTATGCGGACGGTGGCTGGGGACGGGAGCCGCAGCTGTGAGTGTGCGGCCGATGGCTGGGGACGGAAGCCGCAGCTGTGAGTGTGTGGCCGATGGCTGGGGACGGGAGCCGCAGGGGTGAGTGTGCGGCCGATGGCTGGGGACGGAAGCCGCAGCTATGAGTGTGTGGCCGATGGCTGGGGACGGAAGCCGCAGCTGTGAGTGTGTGGCCGATGGCCAGGGACGGGAGCCGCAGGGGTGAGTGTGCGGCCGATGGCTGGGGACGGGAGCCGCAGCTGTGAGTGTGCGGCCGATGGCTGGGGACGGAAGCCGCAGCTGTGAGTGTGTGGCCGATGGCCAGGGACGGGAGCCGCAGGGGTGAGTGTGCGGCCGATGGCTGGGGACGGAAGCCGCAGCTATGAGTGTGTGGCCGATGGCTGGGGACGGAAGCCGTGGGGGGGGGGAGAGGACGTCAGCGGGCGCACCCCCGACAGGACGGCAAGTACGGCCGGCTGGCCGGACGTCATTGGCCGTCAGTCAGCCAGATCGGCCGGCGCCAGCCGGCCGCACTTGAGACGGCTGCAAAACTGACGACCATTTGGCATGCAGAAAACCACACGACGGGTACAAAGCGATTACTTATGTGTAGGAAACCGAGAAACTACCGATAACTGGCGCTGCGCCCATGCTTCATACTTGAAAGCCACCACTTTAACCGCGACAAATATGAGTGCGGCACCAACCCATTGGCACGCACAACACAACACAGCACATGTCAACACATGTCATACGCATCACCGTTGGAATACTTCTCCGAGATCAACAAGTACCAGCTGCTCTATGAAGCAAAACAACGCAGATGTAATAACGCAAAACCCTTTGGTATGTACATTGTGCACGCTGACGGCCTGCACAGACATCTGCAAATCACCGCTCTCAGCAGAGAATAACACTTAGCGGCGGACGCCACGACTTCTAAGCCGAGCATAAGCTGGAGAAAATATAAAAGCATTAATCTGGCCCGGCTATTCCAACCTATGAAAGCACTTAAAGCAGCACCGTGATTAAAACCAGGCGGGTTGCTAAGTAGATTAACGTGGTCATAAAGAGGCACGCACAGTGACAGTTTGGAGAAGAAGAGAAACCCGGCCACCAGCTCATGTGCGGCAGTTATGAGACCTGTTTGAGACCCGCGAGAGTGCTTGCCGCTTTCCCACATCATTAGCATGCTGAACTGAGCCTGCATTCATTCCCAAAAGCCAGGGCGGCCGTATGTGGATCTTTGCGGACATCTGACACCAGGAACCACAAGCGTCGTCTTCCTCAGTACCTCTTGGGAACCACAGCGGGCTAGACGTCCAACATGAATCACGTACGCATATACCAACGCATGAATGGAGAAACTGCATATCCCACCAGACTGCGACGCAGCAGCTCAGCTCGAGGGTGCGTCTTTAGCCTTAATGTGGGGTAATGCATTACCGTTTTGACGACCTGGTCCCTCCTTTAATGCAGCGTAGGCTCAGCTCAGAGTCCCACCCGTCTTCGAGGATAAAGTAGACGCGTTATTAGAAATGAGCCCAGGGATAAAATGGTTTGATATTAAGTGGCTTTGGAATCAGAGTACGTTTTGCACAAGGAAGTCAGTGACGCCGAAGCACTAGTAAACGTGATGACTAGATCACAGGAACTGGTGGGGATCCATAACAAGTGACGACGTTCATAGCAAGCGACAAGCGTAGGACCTGTTGCATTCCTGCGTGCGGTCACGATGGGTCCGGTCGTAGGAATGACTGTTCATCAGATTAAAAACCACCGAGCCTCGAATCGCTTAAGCAGCCAGCTGAAACACGACACGATTCACCGCCAAGGTAATGCCAAGCGTCCAATAGCAGCCACTGTAGATACGCACTGTATCGTTTCGGTCCGTCTTCCAGACAGAACGTCAGGGTTAAGGTAGCATCGTCCTCAAAAAATTCGGTGGCGAAGGCATCCCACCAGAGGCTGTCGCTGTCCTGGAACGATAAGAGCAAATGCTTCACGGTTTCTGTTCATAATCTGCCAACGGTAAGCGCATAACATAACGGGCAACAATATCTGACAGCGCATCCCGACACAGCGAAGCACTTCTGCTCGGATTTCTTCCAGAGTGGTCCGTCGCTCGCCAGGCACTCTGGATGACGTTAAGCGTCCTCAGCCCCGAGACGGACTGCTTGAGCTGCACCATTCGCGTGAGCAGGATCGCGTCGCAGGCTGGTGAAGCCACGCGCCGGGGCGTGCGCCACCCCACACGCGGCGTGCACCACCTCACAAGAGACGTGCGCCACCCTGCGGGAGCTGAGCCAGCCATCAGGCTCACACGAGACGTGCGCCACCTCACACAAGACGTGCGTCACCCCGCAGGAGCTGTGAGCTAGCCGGGCGGTAGGCGGGAGTCAGAGCCGAGCGTGCAAGGCCGCGACGGTTCTCAGTACAGAACAGCTGCCTTCTGCCCGCCCGCTCTCGGCCAGATCAAATTTGTCTGCGTTTTTTTTTCAACTCAGCAAGGTGCAGGCCAAAACAATAAACACTTTCGGTACAGATATGAACGGCGCGTTGTATCGACAGCTGTCTGCAATATTACGTAATGAATGCATCTGCCTGCATCGACACGGCAGCAAATGTAGCTGGCAGCAGATGGCGGCTTCACAACATGGCCGATGATACGACAGCAGATGCAGCTGGTGCAAGGTGGGCGTCACAACATGGCCAATGTGGCACGACTTTTCTCTTGACAAATTTCCGCCTACGGACGCCACTACAACACAACAAAGTTACCTCTGAACAAGGTGTATGAGTGATGAAGCCGCTATCGCGAAACATCAACACTACGGACAACCTCCCACAGAAAACCCTTCTTCATGACGCCACGGCTACAGAAATTGCAGTTCTGGCACAATGTGCACCTGCTGGCAGAGCTACCGTGCTTTGCCTTTCAGTTACACGCTCGAATTCGATGCAACCCTCCTAGTTCGTTACATCACTCATGTGCGGAGTTAACATCAGTACGATACAGGTAAGCCGGCATATTCGCACACATAGCTGGAGGTTATTTCAATATGTACTCTTTTCGAGTTTGAGAGGTTTGAGAGGCAAACCCTACAACACGTGACCGTTAAAACCAGTAAAAAACATGCAATTAAACTATGGGCATATTTTCGCACAACGCGTTGGGGGAGGGGGAAGCTGAGCGGAGGAAAACCAATCGACGTACCAGAGAATGTACCTGCAAGAGGATTTCTTCCCGGACTTCGCCCACGTTCTTCTCGAAGTTGGAGGGGGGGGGGGGGACTGGAGCCACCAGCAAAATTTGAAACTGGACTAAACCATATAGGACTGAATAATGTGGACTTAATCAGCACTACTAATGTCATGGCCAGCTATTGCTAGTGCAGCTGCGTCATGAGCAAAAATCAGGGCCGAGGAGACAACAATATTACCTCAGACTTTTGCTGTAGCCGCTTGTTGAGTTCGTGTATCCTGTAGTCGGGCTGATTGAAGTATGGCGTGTGACGTCTGCAAAGAAAGCAGGCAATCAGAGGTCGGCAGCCATCATACTGATCAGCAATACGATGAGCTGGGACTTTAAGTGTCATTCCTGGCTTGTGGGCCAAAGTGCATGCACAATTTCATCTGAAGAGCGCACCGGCTGGTCAGCTGACTAGCAAGTTATATGAGCGGGTTTGCAAATTAAAGTGTGCAAGCCTTTCCTTAGGACCCTCCATTTCATGCAGGCAGAAGTACCCATCACGAACTATTGACTAAACCATCGTCGTCATTCGCCGGTCCCCCCCCCCCAAAAAAAAACTGATGCAAGGTAAAGAAAGCCCGGCTGTAAGCCTCGCTGATGAACGGCGAAAAGTCACGAAACACGAACGCACTGCGTTCATGACCCATGGGACGTCAGCCGGCTGGCGAGCAGTTCTCGGAGTGCGGTGATACATCAGCCAGCCCCGCTCGAGTCCGCCCAACAGCCCGAGCGCGCAATCACGCCGCACAAAAACTCCAGTCGTCTAGCTAACTAGAATTTGCTGCGACATGTCGGGACCAAATATCAGAGAAACCCTAGACCCGGCAACGGTTAATCCGGGACCTGTGATAAGGCCTTCAGAGTGTTTCAGGTACGTGCCCTCTCACCAGCAGTAAACACCAACCATATAATTGTTTATAGAACTTTATGGCGGATCTAGAACTCTGGCGGCGAGGGCGCTGGCAATGGGTGACCTGTATTGCACAGCGGCGCTCAACGCAGCCGAGGTGGGGCCGGCGACCTCGGGTCACGCTCGTCTTCCACACTCGCCTGCGGAGCACCACCTGCTGGCGGCGCCCCGCCGACTAGAGTCAGCCGCGGCTCCACGGAGCGCGGTCACTGCTAGGGGCTCTCTGCGGCCACGAAAGTCGATGCTTGTTCATACAAATACTGATGTCGAGTTTTACGCGAGATTATGTTTGTGCGACTAGGGTGCAAACACGATGGGTGTAAAAGGAATTGCAGCGTTCTCGTAATGGTGGTTCTAACATCGCATAACTTGCGATGCCATAATTGCAGGATATGGGAAAAGACGAATTCGGCGCGAATTCTTTCGGAATTCAGATAAGACGAATTCGGCGCGAATTCGATTCGACTTGTTACTGTTTCACGCACCTGCGGGTACGCGGACATGTTGATATATCTATATATAGATATGCGTGCAGTGAAGCAAAACACAAGAAGCAAACACTGGAAATCTCACCGATCAAGGTCCCCTGTTATGCTGAGTTTTAAGAAAGGTAGGTGACACCAATCGAAGGGCTTGGATGCAAAAGTTTACGAAGTAAAGAAACCTAGCGGTGTTCGCGAAGCGCCTCAGTCATCAAATGTAGAACACGCCTCGACCTCCAGACATCCGGAACGGGCAAGTGCATGGTCCACAGCTGCAGCTACACGCAAGCAGCTCCGCAAATATTACAGCTATTCCAGCGTGCAGACAGTGCACCGTCACCGACCGAATAAAGTCTTGGACTTTCTCGACACCCAAACAGACTTGCCGCAAACCGGAGCAATGTACGTTGTCTCAAGGAGGCGGGTCCGATGAATGGCTCACTGAGTCATCGCATGCCGGGAAAGCGCTCGTATTGAGTCATCTCAAGCTCGTAAATTATTCCGGTTTATGGCCGTTCCGACTGACACGGTAATTTTGATTGTCACAAGCTAGACGAACAGGCCATTCTGCCGGATAGGTCCAATACGGCTTAACAATTTACACGAATGCCCATTATGTCTGATGACGGGTGGTTGTAAGTCAAGACCGTCGCATCTCGGGTAAGATACTGGAGCAACATGGCTTGAACATACATCAAAAAGAGCATCCCACCTCTTTGTACTTTTCGCTTATCGTAATATCAGACGCGTAAGATTGATCAGTGAAACCATTTGTTTCCAAATCCTTACGAATAGCTCAGGATTTCGACTTGAAGTGGCCGAATCTGCGAAAGAAATATCATTTGACTCTCTGTTTACCGCTGTAAAAATAATGATTTCATTTACCTTGCTGTTTCCGACGTGTGTTTTCTCTAATGTTTGCAACACACGTATGCGTCAAAATGTTTGCATAACAAATGCTATGAAAGCTTGAAGCACTCTGGACAAAAAGTTACGCGAACATCAAGCTATTACCCCGCGAACTGAATGAAACGTTGTACTATGACTATCATCTCTCCCCTACTGTGTTTATTACAGTGGCTGTTTTCGAAGGGCACTTTGGTTTTGGAAATAAGAATATCACATGGTCCATGTAACACACTGGTTCAAACATCAGCCAATGCACTTCTCGGTCACAAGCCCTTGCCCGGTGGACCAATCACAGACTTCCTTTTGTTCGCAACAAGTAGTGTTGCGCACGGTAGTTGTCATGACGATGGTAGTCGCGACTTCAGGGAAAAGGCATGGTACATTTACAAAGCGTGGCAGCGCAATTTCAGCTAAAAATAGTTAAAATTGATATTTCATTATGTCTTGACGATGTTGCAGTGACGATGCCCATTGCTATTAATACACGTAACTAGTCCTGAAGTTTTCCAGCAGCATGTTTTTGAAATATGCTCCAAAGGCGGGACACTCCCTTCAACAACGCACAGAGGGAATATTGGATACATGCTACAGCCACCACATCGCGGAAAGCATATGCGCACGGTCTGTCAGCGCCGTCCAACATGTCACGTGGTGGAGAGATGTCCAGATTCTGACTGTCTGGTCCCGAGTAGAAGTGGATCGTCGCCAGCTTCGCCACATCGCGGGTGGAGGTTCGGATTCCGATAATGCGAGCGCCGACATGGAATCCCCACGTAAGGGCTGGATAAGAAACCGGACCGCACGTTGTTTGCTAGCGAAATATCCAAACCTTTACATCGCAGGAGAGTTGGGGGGGGGGGGGGGGGCAAGTCCGGACCACGTCACGGGATGGCGACTTTCTGATCAATACATCGCGGAGGTGGGGAATGACCAGGCCTTCATACTCTTGAGTGGCGAAATGACCAGGCCCCGACATCAGCGGCCGGGTAACTGCTCATGCATTCACATTACGTTATAACGATGCCGGATAAACGTCCACATCCGAGCGCCAGCAAGGGATAAACGTCCACATCCAAGTACCAGCAGCGGATAAACGTCCAGAGCCTAACATTGCGTGGGCGCATAAATTCGCAGATCATGGCGCACGTCATGGGGCTGGGCAGATACATGCACGATATGTGATATCGCAGGCCAGCCCGATATCCCGAGCAGCTGAAGATCCGCTTGTTTTCCACCAACCCTGCCAGACACCGCGGCGGCCCGACCACACGCTCATCCAAATACCTCATCATCGGATGCATGAAGGGTGGGTGCTGCATCGGAAACGGTGGCTGCTGCTGCGGCGGCAGCGGCGGCGGCGGTGGCGGCGGCGGCGGCGGGCGGCGGCGGCGGCGGCGGTGGCGGCGGCGGGCGGCGGCGGCGGCGCACCGCCTGCTCTTGCATGGCCGGTCGGCTGGACGGCCGGCTGGACGGACGACGCTCGCCTTTGGTCTTCACCGGCATAGCCAACACGGTCGCGACCTCGCTGCACCGGCGGTGCCCGGGCGGCACGCCACGCAGACTCGCGGATCACCGTCCCCCGTCACACGGATCACGATGTGACGTCACGCGGCCCCGATGCCGCGCCGGGACGTCGGGCTGGACGGCACCACGTCCAGCGGTTCGGCGTCTGTCGCCGCGCGCCCAGCGGCGCTATCACAGCAGCGTTCGGAGCTGGTAGCGGGCGGCGCGTCAGCCGGGCGACCTGAGCCGGCTCGGGGTCCAGACGACGTCGGCTGGCGGGGCGCGGCCGGCGGTCACGCCGACTGACGGCACCGCTGAGCCGTGCTGCCGACTTTGTCTGACCCCGCGCCCGCGGCGCCGCTCCACTCGCCGCAGGTCATCACGGCCCTGCTCCGTCGTCAGAGGGTCGCGTTCAGAGCCGTGCGTCCCGCCGTGCCGGTTCAGGTTAGGGGTCGCGGAGGGCGGGAGAACAGGGCCCACCGCCGAGAGCACAAACAGAGAGAACGGATCGGTTCAGGGGCGAACTTTCCCGCCAACCTCCACAGGGTCGCGTCCAGCGCATGCCCGTAGCGTAATGTATACGACCGTCAGAAGGACGGGCCACAGCAAGTCCCGTTATTTAGACCTTCGGCTGTGTTAAGAACGAACTGAATTACGTTTGAGTTCGAAAAGTTCCCGTAAAGCATACCAATATGCTGCTGACGTTTTCCTAAATGAAACGGCTGTCGTGTGGTAGTATAATCGTGCAGTAAATGGCAACGTCGGTTCAACAGGTCCAGTGATCTCGACAATATTATTGCAGTGTGGAGGGTAGGTGTCCTTGATGTCGGGATTTGTGATGACTGCTGAGCTTTCTGAGCTTTATGCCTCCGCCGAACCAAGTGCCACAAGTTCGCACTGGAGTTGCGTGCCATTCTCTACGGTCCCTCTGTGTGGCGCATGCAAGGTGCATATTATAAATCTTCAACCAGCCTGCTGTTGAGACCGTCCATTAGTGCCACAGGCTCCCTAGTGCCGCCCGTAAAATATGGAGGAAAGCAACGTTCGCCGAAAGCGGCCAGGGTGTGCTGGCACGCCGCTGCACGCCTGGCCGGCCTTGGTTAGAGCAGTCGGTGTTTGATGCCCGGCTGAGGGCCCGGCCGGGGGTGGCTGGCTGTGTCCACTTGTCCAGCTCCGCCGCCGACATGTTTTGGTTGTCAGGTCGTGCCAACCCGCTCAGCGGCCGCTGTGCGGGCCACCGCCGACAGCCGGCAGCGGAGACGGCGCTCATCACACGCTCCACGGCCCGGTCCGCAGTGTTTCAACACTGACTCGCCCCGGCGACATTAAATCAATGAGATACAGAAACTAGCCGGGCCCGGGCACCACGGCCGCCGGCTCAGGAAATCGATAGAGCGACGCTTTGCAGGGCTCGCATGCATCGGAATAGGGCTTAGGACAGGGCGGGGCAGGGGCTAAGGCA